TCGTATTCAAGCTTGCTCACCTGTCAGGGCCTCTTGAACCGAAAACAAAGCGCTGCACGCGGCATCACCCAATTTCGAACCACGAGTTGTAAATACAAGATCATGACGTCACTGCCCAAATATCGGGTCTTATTTACACCCAAATATGGTCAAAAATGCAAATTTTAGAGGGTTACGCAGAATTTGAGAGTTTTTTTCTTACATTGTGGGGGATTATGAATCTGCCGCCAAGGCAACCTCGCTTCTTAGCACGGTTGCCTCGTTGGCAATAGAAGGCTTCTGTATCTAAAAAAGCAAGTGGTAAATTTAAGCAATAGAAAACGTTTTCCATGTTTTCATAGCCTGATATAAACACGAGAGGGGTTGGGAGAATTCTCGACAGTTATGCAAACCCGAGACGAAGTTCCAAAATACGGATTTTTCTCGCTTAAAATGTCAGCTTAAGCGAAAAGAAAATTGACACACCTTCTTTGTATCGATTTTCCAAGTTTCAGCCGACGAAGGAATGGGTAAATAAAGTAAACTTGTCGAGTTTTGAACTTGAAAACTTTTTCAAATTTGTGCTTGCGTGATTAACGCGCGAAAAGCAACGCCACAACCATGTTTACATACTCTCATGCAAACACTCCCCTCGGCCAATCAGAGCGCGCGTACTATCTTAGTTATTTTATAAAAACTTAAGAAACGGTCCAGAACGATAGCAACAACGGCAACGAACATGTTGGAATGCAAAACAGGTGCTATCTTTTCTATTGTCTGTACTTACTTCTGATTGGCTTAAACAGCAAAAGTTAACAAAACTTCATAAAGCCGTACATATATTCATCCTTACTTTCCAACCATCTTCCACATAACAAAATCTGGTCTCAGTTTGAATAACAAAGAAATCCTATGTGGGGAACATGTAAAATTGTAAACTTTTCTTGGTTATTGTTTTCAACTCTTGTGATTGGTCAAAATCTTTTAACACACAAAAAAACACCCTTTCAAAGTGGAGTGTAAATGCATTTTATTGCGTAAACGGCCTTCATGTAGGTTTATGCATTCTCTGTGTAAAAATGAGAACATTCCTATGTGGGGAAAGCACCGTTGCCGCATAACGAAAGAAATTGCTATTCACCTTACCCGGATCATCGCTTAATATGAAACATTGACAGAGATTTTCTTAAAGGGGCTATTTCACGACGATATTGCTGTTTTAGGTCAATTCTGAGTAGAAGTCATTGCCTAGTGCCTTCAACTATTACAAAAAAATGCTCCCGGTAGAGTTATGAATGTTTTGGTGATTTTTGCTGGCATAACATCAAGACTTGAAAACGTTGGCCCAATTTTTTCAAGTTTCAATCCATGTCCATCCATCCTACGTCGCCAAGCGACCATGTCTTTGACACGACGTCAGCAACATCTCAATCTATCTATGAGAGCCAACAGACTTTCTCAAGTCAGTTGATAAAACAGAAAAAATTGTGACTCCATTTAAAGGAGGCACTAGCTCCCCAGCAAATCCCACAGTTTTCTTTCGACGTTTTCCCCAGGATTACCTATATAATACGTCATCAGAGGACCCTACATAAGTAGAAGAAAAATTCCTTTAGTTAGATAATAATCATTTTAATGTGTTAAAACAAGGCGTTGTGAAGCATATACGTGGGTGTCATTGAATTTGGCGAAAATGAAGTTTGTATGGGTCAGACATTGGTAATTGGTGCAATGGTGTTGTTTATTGTTAAGGGTTGGTTGAGATGTGTAAAGTAAAGTTGGACGTAGGTTGGTGCAATTTACCAAGGGTTGCTTCTAAGGGAGGACTCGAACTTTTCTTCGAGTACGACCGAATACTAAGACATGATATAGCCCTACTTGCAAGCGATCCATTTCAAGTAGCGAACGCGGCGAGCCGCAAGAGGCCGTGCGGCAAAGCAGAGAGGAGGGAGGAAATTGAAAACTCTCCGTTCTTCTTATACACTGTTAACAGCCTAACACCATTTAGTTCCAATAAAATCATCAAACTGCCGAAATACTCTATTTTTGACCGCTCATCACTTGTACATGTCATTCATCTCCACGACATTTCATTCCACTCATCTTATGCCTCGGCTGCATGCCGATCACGATATTTTGTGTGACATCTTCTTTGTTTGAATGTCAAGAGGGGACATCAGACTTCAGACTTAGGGACATCGGACATCGAACGTCGTAGTCGTACGGGTAACCCAGGCTTTACGATAGCACCACAGTACGAATCCTATAAAGTTACAGTGTTTGTATGGGTTAAGGCTACGATCCTAAAATTTGTAGGAAATACTAAATAAAAGTCAGTGAAATACTCTGCAGTTAGCTGTTGTTGTCTTCAATGCTCACAGGAAGTTTCTTGACGATATGCTTAAATTCTCCCTCCATACAAAAACAATTGACAAGGTAGAGGCAAGAGATGAACTCTCATGCAGCCGCCATCGCTGACTTTCCAACACCATGAATTTCGAACTCCGACAGAAAGTAAACACACTAGGCTCGTAGAAAAAGGACTGTCCCAGATATGGAATCAATGGAACCTCCCCGGCTAGCGAAACGAATCCAGCAGCCTTTGTGAAAATGGCAGAAGAGAATCCAAAAATAAGTGGCCCAAACTACTTGCGCCGAAATGGTCGGGTCAGATCAACGCGCGGCCAAGCAAATGAGACCTGCGAACTGTACAAATCAGATCCATCCAGGGTGACCAGGGGTGGCCTTTCTAGGGACCAATACGTCTCTTACCCAAAGTTAGCCTCCATCGATTAAAACATATATGTCAAGCACTCTCAGACTGTCTTGCCCACTTTCCTGACCCATATTTACAATCTCATAAACTCTTGCAACAAAGAAACACAATTCGCCATATAACCTGTTGCTTAATAACCCTGACCACCATCAAGGATTGTGTCTAAAAGTACACACTCGAAGTGTCTGAAAGTCGTCACTCTAAGTTAATCGTGGTCACTTGTGTGTACTTTTAGACACAATCTCAGAGTGCCCCGCCTTAACCTGTGGACCTAAATGAATTTCAGTTTTTGGGCAGCGAGAAGGGACAACAGCAAATACAGTAAAAACCCGCGTATGAGAACCTAGAATTTTCGAGGTCAGGCAGAACAGGTTCTTTTATTTTAGGGTAGTTTTTAACAGTTCAGGCTGATTAGGTTTTTAATGGGTTCTTCTCATAGTGTAACCATTAGCAAAAACATTGTACTACTCATACATAATGGTTTATGGAAAAAAATATTGCTGGTTAAAATGCAAACAAATGTAAATCAAAGAAAACATATACACAATAACATTTGTCAGAAGTTTCTCACACAATTAAAACGCAGAATTTTGACCATCAAAATTGGAGTGATTTTTTTTGTATAGGGAGCTATTTTTCTTCGCGAGGCCGAACAGTTTCCTATATTTTTGCATATTTAGATGCCAAATTTCAGCCTTAAATCACCAGGTTCTTATATGCGGGGTTTTATAATACCCACTGTATCTCTGCGTTCGCAGGCTCGGTGTGGGAATGAATCATGTTTTGCTAAATATAAGTATCTTGTCACTTCCGGTTTGAGATGGGGTAAGCTACTGGGTATGCAATTTAATTCTTAAGATTGAGATTGGAAAGCAAATTTGACCCTTTTAGTGGAAGATGCAAGGTAAAGCTTCTAGAACTTCACCGGACCGCCACACCCAGCAAATTTGTCAATGCATCTCCCAGGCCCCATACCTTTTTGTTTTGGACTATGGATCTCTCGCAGTCATTTTAGGGAGTTTCAATTCACTAAAAAAATTAAAATGAGCAGGTTAATAAATTTCTAAAATAGTAACAAAGACTTTCACAATTATGTAACGGGAAAAGAATAGGTCTTTCTGTGTGACTGTTACCAGACAAAACAATATATTTTTTGAAAGAACTGATAGTGCTACAAAAATAATTACATTACTCCCTTTCATTTAATACAGTCGAACTTCCATTTGAGTCCACCTCTCGTAAGCGATCACCTCCCGTAAGCGACTACTAAATATTTACATTTTGCACATTCTGGGTGATCGCTTACAAGCGGGGTTCAATCGTAAATTGAATTTCACTCTCTTCCCTCTTTTTGATTCGTAACGAAAAAAGAGTCCTTTTGAGTCAATTTCGCAGATAGAGCATATTACAACTTACTTCCCAGTACGTCACGGGAGAAACCTGTGGGAAGTCACGCTTTCAGTGCTTTTTATTTTTCTCTTGAGATGAGAACTTTTTACGTAAAGACAACAAGCTTTTGACCGTGATAGTCAAACGAGAAAGCTGGATTCTCTGGTGAAAGAAACCAAGGTATAGTAATTATCTTCCTGTTTTCTTTGTAGAACGAGCTGTAGATGTGGGTCGTCATTAGAGACCACTGGCCACGGTACTGATTAAGCAGTATAGACAGACATTACTGGAGGCAATATAATATCAGTTTCAGTTCAGTTTCAGCCGGTGAATGTCCGTTGGACGCAGGCCTTCCCCATTGACTTCCAACGGACCGCGTTGTTTGCGCGATACGGTGTCAGTCAAGTTTACGTACTGTTTAAAAAACTCGCAATCGTGTATTATCAAGTTTAAAAACCTTACAATACACGACTGCGATTTTTTTGAACGGCTTCAAAATCTCTGATATAGATCAACCCATTCTTGCACTAATATTTAGATTTGGGGTTACTGTGGTCTAAAAAATTGAACCTAAAGTTTAGCCGTGTCTTTATCACACACAAAGGCACTCATTAAACATTAATTTCTTTTGTTTTTTCTTTATGAATTATTAATGAGATTTTAAAGAAACTGTCCAAGTCGTCCCTCCATCTCGTCCTTGGTCTTCCTCGGTTCGTGGTGTGTCCTAGTGGCGTTCAGAACGTAATGCGGGTTGTCCAACAGTTGTCTGTTCTTCTCGCTGCATTACCTAGTCTGCTACACAGCCGTTTTTATTGTCGTCACGCAATGCTCCTCCCCAGCGTTGCGTAAAGGCACTAAAAACGGCTGTGTAGCAGACTATACATTACCAGCCTTCAATATGAAAAGCGCAGGGGATGATCGTAGTCTGGTTTAGGGTGTAAATTTTCTACACATTAGTTTCACTTAGTCTGTTCACGACAGAAACGACAATATGTCGTTTAAAAGCAGGAACTGAATGCGATGTTACTTTACATTGCATATCATATGGTGTACTGGACACAAATTCATTACAGGACTCAATGTACGGCTTAAAGTCATATCTGACATCGGGTAAATTGATATCTTAGTTAACTGGAGAAACGGGGGAGGGGGAAGGGGGTGTGAAGAAAGAGGCGTGCTCCTCCCCAGTACCACGCTAGTCTCGCTTTGCTCGCCTATTTTTTGCACCTAGTTGTTTGCTATCCGCCTCTTTTTTTTACCCAGTGGCCTGGTTGCGGGATAATAGTTCAATCGTTAGCCTTTCGTAATTATTGATTTTTGTGAAAATGACGTTTTTTCATTTCTAATTTACATTAGTAACCTGGGATACAAGATGGGCGTTGAAATCAAGGAGCGAGAGACTTGGTCTTCAAAGTTGGATTGCCTTCTCGCTTTGATGGGTTTTTCCATCGGTCTCGGTAACATATGGAGGTTTCCTTACCTGTGTTTTAAAAATGGTGGAGGTAAGTGGAGAATTATGGCCATATGATGAATTTTGAATTTACATATTCGGTTAACTTACAAAAAAATAAAATGAGGAGGAAATGTATTTTCTCCGTAGCCGTGTAGAAAAAATAAATATTGAAAAAATATTTTAATTGTGGTTTGAGGCCATTTGAAATAAAAGCTGCACTGGAGTTCCAACAAGAAGCTCAAATGCTGATTTCTGTGCTGGTTTCCACCATTAATGAAAATCTGTTAGAATTTTCAAGAATAGATATATAGTAATGCATACCCCTGCCTCACCCCCCCCTCACCCTAGAAGCTTACACTTTCCGTGTTTAATGTTTGGAACTCGGTAGCCATCTATACCTTAGATCCAGGTCTGAAGAGATCCCTCCCTCCACAGTGGAAACCTCACCGGAGCAGAAATATCGCGGCCGATTCGTTCTGAAAATCATCTTGATGATGACGATGATGATTATCGTAAACAGAGAGGCAAACTCGGTGTTCCAGATGTAGAACTGTGCCTTACTAGTATTCAAAGGGTCAAGAATTGCCTGTGTTAGTTGTGCAGAATACATATGATCTACAGAAGTAAAAAGAATATATGACATCATCATGTCCTAAATAAGGTCATGATTCATACAACTGAACATAAACAATGACATAAACCATCTTAAAATAACCCAAAACCTCTCAAGCGGTTATACTAGTCTCAACGCCACGTCCGCCAGGTTGGTTGGTGTCTCAGAACAATAGCACGGCGGCCATGGGAGTAGAACTTTTCTCTCATGTAAAATCTTTTCTTTGTCTCAATAAATTTGCATAGCTGTTTCCCACGTGAGTGAAAAGGCTCTGTAGAGCGTGGGTTAATTTATGATGCCTATTCATGATGTGATGGGCGCTAATGTAATCCTGGGCAAATTAATGAGTTAGCCGTGGAAAAAAAGATTACTCTTTACGGGTGTCCTATACAGCTGGTCCGTTTCTGGGTATCGAAACTAAGACCTTTCATGCTACATTTCAGCGATTCAATGTTTGTGCCATCTAATCTCATTCTTGTGAGAGCCGCCACATGACGATTAAAGCCACTGGATAACCTGGTTCCTCCTTAATAATATATAACAATTATTCAGCGAAGTGGAGGTGATTAGTCGTGATTATTTACCGAGCTGCGAAGCCGCGAGGTAAATATTCACGACTAGCCACCGACACTGAGGTGAATAATTGTTTTAGTATATACTAAAACAGTGAGATAATTGAGCAAAAAAATGATGATTGTTAACGCAAATACTGTTGCCAACGATTACAATTTTGGCGCGTAATGACCGAACGGCCGCGGCCGTCGCTTTTTCTTGCCGACAAATAAAACTTTTGAAGGCATTTGTTTAGCTCTTGCGGGGAAATTTCTTCAAAAGGAGTTGTGAATTCTTTTTGTATTTAAAATCATTCTGTAAAAAAAGATTATTAAATTTAGTTTTAAGCTTATTTATGAACAAGTCAACTAAATGAAGTAACGCAAGACTTAAAGCTTAATTTGCATTTGTAAACAAAAAACTTTTATACCGGTTTTATCGATAAATTTGAGTCAAAAAGACAAAGCTTCACCTGTTAAAACTTCCAAAGCGAACTTCGTTACCTTCTTTGTGTATTTCGGGAACAGCTTGCTTGATTAGTTGTGAAATTTCTTTGTTTGTTACGGCAGCAAACCGGGAAGGCAAATTGCTCGCAACTTACGCGAGTTTGGCGTCGCTCGCTTGGAGGAACTGGAGGTGAATCAGTGAATAGTGCAGGATATTCACTGATTGAGTAGCCAATCAGAGCGCGCGAAAAACGCTATCCACTGTTTTAGTATATACTAAATAGATTTAGCCAGGGCTAAAACGAAGCTCTCTATAATTTTTATAGTTTGCTCACACAATATATAAAATCGTTAATGCTAAGCGGCGAAGGCAACGAGAACGGTAAAAAAACAACAACAACAACAATAGGTCTAATTAGCAAAAAAGCAACTTTGCACGTGCAGCACACTTTTTTTGTACATTTCTTTGCCGTTGTTTTGCACAACTGTTACGTGAAACTTCCACAAACTTCCCAGTTACACGTTTTATGGAGGGAATGTCGGACGTGTTCTTGTTCACTCTTTTTTCACTGTCGCTCATTTTCACCCCAGTGGCCGCTAGCATCCCGCCACTTCAAAATTTCATGTTGTTCCTCCAACAGAAAATGTCTCCTTTTGTTTTTTCTCTCTCGCTGTAGCTGCTTTTCTCGTTGAGCTTTGCTGGCCTGTCGACCTACTTTCTCTTTTTCTCTGTCTTTCCCTTTCTCTTTTAGTATTCCAAACTTGTTGACAAGACAATTAATTTAAGCTTAATATATACTCAAAAAATAAACAAAAAAAAAAACCCACTGATACAGAAACATTTTCCGCTTTCCGTTCTCGTCTTTATTGACTCCTTAGGGACGTACCATTAGAGAAGTTAATTGGGGGGGGGGGGGAATTTTCGAACCGCAGGAATTTTTTTTCGTTATCAAATTCCTGGTATGAATTTTTTTTGGGCCATAGCATGAATATTTTTTAGGATTAATTGGCATGCAAGAATTTTTTTCATTTAATTTTCCCTTGCACGAATTTTTTTTTCTTCGCTCCCCCCCCCACCCGATAAGTTTTCTAATGGTCCGTCCCTTAGTTGTGTCTGCTTCACGAGACGCGGGTGGCCATACGCTTTTCGCAAAAATAACCTGACATTTGGCATCGGCTTACATGTAGTGGGTGTACGGACGTTCGTTCGCACGCTACGTCATAACCACATTTTCTCGGATGGATAGTTTACCAAATTTTCTTACCCATGGTGCTCCGCTGGCGCGCTTGCGAGAGCTCCGCAATATTAAGGCACTCTATATGCTCCAGGGATACTCTCAAGGCCTTATACGCAAAATTGTTTTAGCCATGCCTTATGCATCATGAAGTATGGGGTGGCTTTTGTGCGAAAGGAAATTAATTACTCAACTAATCTGTGGGTAACTTCATATTTGCAGGTTGTTTCCTCATTCCCTACTTGCTTTGTTTGATTGTGGCTGGTGTACCCGTTTTAGTGATGGAGATTGGTCTGGGGCAATACACGAGTCAAGGTGGAATCACGGCTTGGAAAATTTGTCCACTTTTCCAAGGTAAGAACAATTCAACCGTAACCTCTTGAGTAGAGACGTTTGCTGGACAACTGAGAAACGTCTTGTGTTCTCGGATATTTTGTACATAGTAAAAAAAAAACCCTAGCCGGGCATACTTCTCAGGAATAACCTATCTAAAATATTTAATTTAAATATGAATAGCCCACTTTCGACATATTAAAATTCCAACATGCCTCTGAGGCTTTAGGGTCAAAATTGCAAATTTTTCACGACTCCATTGTCTCGCAATTCCCAGAACAGATTTGAGCACAAAGAAAACCAGCCAAATATAGAAATATGACCAGAAAGCGCCGGAGTCATGTTAGAATAGACCTCAATCACGATACCCTTCATCTTTGCACGCGCTTTAGGATTGATGATATGAAAGCAATGTCACGTGGTATTTCAGGGAGCAAACAAGTGTTAAAATTTGCCGATACGAGTAATCGAGGTCAAGTTTGGTTATCCTCTCAAAACGATAAGGCAATTTTAAATTTGCAAAATGTACCGTTCAAGTACCGACAAGTTTCATGTCATTATTGCTTGCTGTGAGGACATCTACGGTCGCCACTGCATTGAAAAAATAACAACGATCACTTCTACCCATAATTTGCCATAATTGTCTTTAAGATAAAAATATATTTATAACACAACCGCGATTTCTTGTATTGGCAGGTTTCATCTCTCGTTTGCCCCCTGACAAACCACGTGACATTGCTTTTAACTCATCAGCCCTTATGCGCGTGCAAAGATGGCGGGCATCGTGAATAAGGTCTATTTTAATATATCGAACGTGGGTTATTAACCGACCCTTAATAGACCATTTAAGATATATTATAATTCATACTTGGCTAGAAGACTTAGGGGAGTAAAACAAAAGAAATCGTCTCGACGCTCAGCAATGAATAATGCATTTTCTTTGTCTTATTCCTCCAAGCCTTGAAGCCAAGTTTGAATTTTACTGTATCGAAAAAAGACCTATTACTGTGATCAGGTAATTTCAAGTACTTGGGGTGCAAGGTTGTCCTTGAGCTTTGCTGCGGAAGGAGCAGATTGACCAGACCTCGAAAAAAAAATTCACCGGTGAGGGTGCTTAAAATATTAATGACTCGGGTCAAAGCTCGGCGAGTATTTTTTTTATATCATTCTGATGAGCACAGTAGTTTATTATTATTTATTTTACATGTTCATGGTTTGGGAGGACATGGATGGACAACACTGTAAACATGAACAATTTAATACTTATGATACACAGGGATGCCCAGAGAATTATATTAGACCGTTCTCTCCATTCATCCGCTACCAATGAGCCTGAGGTTTGGACTGGTTTTCCCTCGACGCGCGCTTGCGCGCTTTACCACCATAACCTCTGATATATGTTTTGAATTGCGTCAATGAGATACTAACCCACAGGCTGGATTTATCGGGTGAAAAAGATGACCATCACTAAAAAGCATGACAAAGAGATGACCTGATATCGTCCCGTGCAAAGAGAACATTATCATTCGTTCTAAAAGAATTAATAATATTTGTATCTCAAAAAATCGCTTTGCGACTTTAAACGGAGCTCTATGGGTAAGAAAGTTTGGTTATCTATACATGCAAGAAATTTGGTGCTGACCAAAATCATTGCGTACTTACGTCCGTGCGTCCACCCCCGTATAGAGTCCAAGGCATATACTATCAGGTATTTGCTAATACTTGGTAATAAACATCCATGTCATGGTCAATTGACAGCTGTCCAGAAAGGTATCTGCTGACCAGTGTGACGTGACTATATCGCGGGCTCTGGTACATAAAACATTGAGGTGACTTTTTTAAAAGTTATTCTCTGACCAGTTTTTGGTTTTCACTTGATCGCGGAGTCAGGTCCATATTTTAAAGGTGGAATTCAGTTTGCTTCCTGCTTACGGCAAAAGATGCATTATTAAAGGAAGAGATTTCTTCAAGTTCCCTCGAGAGCTTCGCTTTTGGCCTTTGCTAAATCTATATATCAAACGCATTTGTATGTAGAATCAGTTCTTAAGATTTGGAAGCCATTTAGCTTTTTGAGTATGCTTTTGGTTTATCACTATTTGCTTTTTGAAAAGATAGAAAATGGCGCCAAGAGGGTTAAATTTCGGTAAATTTGGAATCGTATCATATTGATTTAGAAAGCTCGTTTCAAGTTATTTTACTAAGGTTTTATTTTCATACCAGGAATTGGCTATGCCGGTGTGCTTGTAATGCAGTATATCAACATTTACTACACGGTGATTCTTGGCTGGGCTTTGTTTTACATGTTTGCTTCATTCCAGTGGACTCTTCCATGGTCTCGATGTGGTAATGAGTGGAACACGCCAAACTGTGTGGATTACAATAGTAAAGGAGAAAGTCAACAAGATTCGCAAGTAAATGACACCATTAGGAACCTCACGACCATTCTTGCCAAAAGAACAGTAGCAAATGGCTCAAAAACTATACCAGCAAGCCAGGAATATTGGGAGTAAGCAGAATTAATTTTTTTAACAGTACAGTTTGTAGTTAAGACTTCGCACTATTGGGACTCAAGCGTTTGATTCTCGACAGATCTCTTACAAGTCCCTGTCATCTTCCTGATGTTGTTTTGAGCACTTCTGACTAGCCAGCAGAACAGGCGTAGAGCATGAGGCACGCGCGACAAGGGAAGGCGCCTCCCTTCTTCGAGCGTGTCTTTTCACTTTCCGTCCACTTCTCGCTTGCCTTTACTCTCCTGAAGAATGTGAAAAACCAACGCCTGTTCCATAGGCTAAGTTCTGACGGACGTTCGCGCTCCACCAATCCTGTTAGCATGAACTCAATTATTTACTGTCACGTGTTTTACCCGACCAAAAAAGATATGATTCAGTTTATCCCCGACAAGTCAATTTCCTGATTCCTTTCTTTCTTTTCGAGATAGCAAAAGTTGCGTCTAAAACTGCTATAATATTTTTTTCTTTCTCTTAGGAACAGGGTGTTACGCATCTCTAATGGTTTGGGCGAACCAGGACCAGTGAACTGGGATCTGGCCTTATGCCTGTTGTTGGCTTGGATAATCTGCTATCTATGCGTGTGTAAAGGAGTCAAATCAAGTGGAAAGGTGAGCAATCACAAGGCTACAAACTTGCTGTTCCGAAGATATCGTGGGTGGCAGGCACTCCCTCACAATCATGGCAGCTTAATTTTTTGAATTTTCTGTCTCGACCAGATCCTGCCCTCGGTTTCGTCGACGAGAGATCCGGGAACAAGGTTATATTCATTGCTCAGGAACGCGAGTCAAAATAGCGTCTCGCTTCTCGAAAGTTATGCGAGACGAAATTTAAGTGATAAATGTACAAAAAGGTACCATGAAAGCGACTAAATTTGGTTGTCGGTGTTTACTGGTGGGTAGAAATTTATTTTCTTACTGAATTGCAGCAATATCCAAAAATGTACTTGACAAAATGTCTGAAATATTTGTAAACAAAGCTCTTATTAGGGACGTCTTTTATTGACAAAAAAAAAATACGTTCACTTTAAACCATCTGCTTTGATATGTATTAGAGAGGTTAAGGTTGTTTACCATTTAAAAAAGGATTCGGGAAAATCCGATTGGAAAGTATTAAATGGAACATGACTTTTTTGGTCGTTCTAGCGGACAATTTCCGGGAGCAACGGAACATCTGAAAAGGTAGTCCTGTTTTTCCGGACGGAATATTCCAAACAGAAATTCGTGTTCCATTTCTTCAAAGCCATCTTTGATACCAGTTTCAGGCCTTCGCAGTCGTTTTCCCAACCCGATAAATGGAACTGATTCGTACAAGTGGTAAACGCGATTCCGGGGCGAAATTTACCAGTCGTGACTTTTGCGTACCATTTGCCTAAACCGTGGACCGACCGATTTGTCCATGTAAATGGTAAACAACCTAAGATTCACGTTTACGCCAAACGGCAAAGGTGAATTAGTACTACGTGACCAAGTTTTCCCCTTAATTGTCGTTTACTGTTTATTACTTCAACACAAAAATAAGTAGAGTAGTTTCACGCCAGTTTTATCCATAAGAATTGTTCTGGGACAGCTTTTATCTGCTTATTTTCTATTCTGAGAAATTCTCAACTTGAATCTGACGTTTGCTGTTTGCCGTAAACGTGAGTCTTAATCTCTCTATTAACACAAGTCTCTCCCCTTGGGTCGTTGCATAGTGCTAGATATAAACCACTACTTACTTCTCCCTTGGGGAATGGTCGTATATTACTGGCTGCAACTATCTAACTGTTTAGGTGACGTACTGCAGTGCAATCTTAAAGCTCTGTTATAAGCTGAACTTTTTATCTTCTTTCCTTTTCGTTGTCAACAGCAACAACAACAATAACAACCAACCATTTTATTTGCCAACTTAAGGAACGTTTACAAAAAAGTGAATAAATTAAACCAGCTCAGGCAAAAAAACTACTCAGAATAGTAAAAAAAAAGAAACTAAACAAGCTGAGTTACATTTCGCTCTGATCTGTCCCTTGAATTTGTGCTTAGAGGAATGACCAAGAGAATGCTGCTTGTTTCCTTCTCTGTTTTGCTCTATCTTTTAATCTTAACCTTTTGTATTGACTTTTGGTTAAACTTTTCTCTCAATATTTTTCCCCAAAGTGCGACTTGGTTTGAGTTTGACGAATATTTTACTCTTGTAGCGTTGATTGCAGCAGTAAAATAAAGTTTCATACCTTGTCAGGTTTGGATTGATGCTGGTACTCAAGTTTTTTTCTCGTATTCCATTGGAATGGGAACCATGACTGCATTAGGAAGCTACAACAAGTTCAAGAACAACTTCTACAGGTACAAGAGTACTTCGTCACCATTAACCTTTTCTGCTTAGTTTTCAATTCCTCGCGATCGTACGTAATTGGATATCACTTTTAATAATAATAATAATAATAATAATAATAATAATAATAATAATAATAATAACAATAAAATTAACGGATACAGAAAAAATTTCCGCTTTCCGTTTTCGTCTTCATTGACTCTTTCGTTGTCTCTGCTTTACAAGACGCCGGTGGCTATGCGATTTCCCGCCAAAATAAGTTGCATTTCTGTTGCCATACCTGTTGATTGAGTTATTTTACATTAGTATGCCTGTGTTGCGGACGGACGGTCTCTCGGGCGGTCGGTCGGTGGGTGTATAGTCACGTGATTACCAAATTTTCTCGTATGGGTAGATTACTTCATTTTCTTACCCATGGTGTTCCGCTGGCGCGCTTCGCGCGCGAGAGTTCCGCTATAAATCTCTTTTTTTTCTACAGATTTTTAAATATTTTTCCTCAATAGTTTAGGCCGTGACACTTTGGGCTTGTTGCGAGTGAACTATTTTCAGGCATTGTTTTTCTCGATATGCCTACAGCACGCATGTCAGAGTTCGATTTCACGTTTTGTAGAAGATTGAACACAAGACAATGATCCTCTAATTCTTTTTTTTTGCAACCTACGTAAAATCCTTTTAGAATTCAACTTCATAAAAATCAACATTTGACAAATCTGGCAGCCTTCGATTGCGCATCGAAAGACTATAGCGAGGAAAAACGAGATGTAGAACACTTTGCTGACTAATCTCATATTTACCTCAAAAGCACAGTTTTTGTAGGGTATTCGCACCATTCTCACGTTCTTCTCTCTGCCCTTGATTTGCAGCGGGGCGGAGCTAAGACACTACCTCAAAATACGTTATTGTTTCACTCGACCCAGGAAACTATCTACACGCTGTTCTAAGGCCCGTTTCAAACATCCTCAAGACTTTTAACCAAAAGGTGCTCATATAGGCAAACTTCGTACTTTCTGAACAAGGCATGGAGACCGCTGGTTTTATCCGATTCACGTAAATGTTGCCTCTTAATAAAGCTGAAAGCGCCTACAGTTTGTCAAATTTTTATCAAATTTGGGTTGATATGCACTTTAACCTGGATTGCGGAATAGGAGAGTTTGAAAAAGTACACGTAACCTAAATTAAAGCCTTTGCGTGAAAATGGAAGAATTTGACAATTAAACAGGGTTTTACGAGGATGGGATCCACTTGTTTTGTGTCGCTCTCCTCAATCTTCCCACCGCATTTCTTAAGAATTTAAAGTTTTTTTTTGTTGGTGCCTGAAACTAAGAGTTTGAAGTGTGTCGTCACGTTTCCATGGTAATAACCTCATTAAACCTAAATAGGAGGGTCAGAATAACCCATTATTCTCTCTCGACCCATAGTTAATTGAGTGGAATGGTTATGAAACCCGTCAGACTCCTTTGTTATATGTTTTTCTGGACCTGAAAGTGCACAACGTTCAAACGAATTCCTATCATTTTGATTGTATTGACCAATAAAAACGTTGCATTAATTTATTCCGTAACAATTTGCCAACAGAAAACAAAGGATTGTGCACTTTCATGGTGCTTCCAACATAAACTGCAGCACTGTTGTTTTTATCATTGATGTTTGCCGCTTTTCATAACCAGTCTCCTCTAATAACTATGCTCGACCTAACCACGCAGGCGTCAGTTGTTCAACTGGATAAATCTCTATCCAGTGCAACTGGTTTTCTTAACATTCATCCACTGGATTGCTGGTTTGCGCGTGACGTCACGGCGGCCATGTTGGTGGTCAAGAACAAAAGCATTTCTCTCCTCTGGGAACTAAACCATTTTCTTCTTCGAACAACAAACAAGAATAGGGCGCTATCCATCTTCTGAACAACCGACAACCGGGGGCCTGTGTCTTGGCGTCCCTATGTGCTGCTGAATCAGGCAGTTTCTGATTGCTATCATAAACAGTATAGCCATAAACTTATTATATAGATTTAGCCAGGGGTAAAAGCGACGCTCTCGATAATATTTTATAGTTTGCTCAAACAAAATATTAAATCGGGTAATACTAAGCGGCGAGGGCAACGAGAACAGTGAAAAAACATCAATAGGTCTAATTAACAAAAAAGCAACTTTGCACGTGCAGCACACTTTTTTTTTGTACATTTCTTTGCCGTTGTTTTGCAAAACTACAACCTGAGACTTAAAGAAAATTCCTAGTTACACACGTTTTATGGAGGAAATTGTTCACTTTTTTTTCACTGCCGCTCATTTTCACCTTCAATCGGCCACAAAATTGTTGAGACATTGTATTCAAATAGGTTAACTTTGGAGAACAAAAGAATCCGCACCCCTCCCCTGTCCCCTCCATTAAAAGTTGGGGTGTCTGTTGTTTTCTATAGGTAGCTCGAACATCGGCACAACATTGCATGGACGGGATGGGGGAGCAAAAGCTATATTTCCTCCTTTTGAAGTTTGTAAAACCTAAAAAAGCCAAGTTTTGGGAGAAGTATCTCAACTCATTTTGTCGCCGATTGTTGGTGGCCGCTAGCGTTTTTCATTTTCTCACCGCCGCTACAAAATTTTCACGTTGTTCTTCTAACAAAAGATGCCTCTTTTTTAATCTCTCGCTCTAGCTCTCTGTCGCTCTTTTTCTCGTACTAGACAACACAGACAAAGAAAGAATTTCTCTTTCCGTTTTCGTCTTTATGGGCCATTTGCACGATGGCGTCATTTTACTACTAGGACCAGAATCCTTTTCGTTATTCTTTTCATATTTAAATTTGGTAATCCCAGCGAGATTTAAATGGCAGAAGCCGTAATTTGCACGAGAAAGGAAAACCCTGAAAGATTTTGGTCGTAGTAATAAATGCATGATGTCATCGTGCAAATAGCCTATTAGGGAGCTTAAGTACTTCGACGACGACCACAACGACGACTTAAAAAGACAATAGGTTTAATGATCAAAACAACAGCTCTGCACGTGCATCACGCTTTTTAGTAAATTTCTTTGACGTCCACTGAACGACTACGACGTTAAACCTCCTTATTTGACGTTTTATGGAGGACGTGGACATACAACGACGAATTTTCCTTCCTCTTTTTGAACCTGAATAAAATCCTTAAGAATTCAACCCCAGGAAAAGTCGCCTGTATTTGACATATTAAGCGGGTCCAGATAGACGCGATTAAGTTTGAAAGAACGCAAATTCATTTTTTAAAAGTAAGTTTTCGCTGCCTTAGTCGTCGTCTTTGGTTAAGGTCCCTATGACTCTTTAGTTGTCTCTGCTTCACAAGACGCGGGTGGCTATGCAATTTCCCGCCAAAATAACCTCGAGTTGCATTTGGGTTGCCATACCTGTTGATTAAGGGTGTGTTCCTTTCGGTGAATCCAAAAACGGATTTTTGATCTAGTGAATCCTTTTTGAAAAAGGATGCATTGGATTTGAAATCCGAAGAATCCAAATACAAATTAACGGATTAGTGATCTACGCTGTTCCATTCGCAGTGGATCCGAAATTAGTCAGATGATCTAGCGGTATTTCCAGTTGAAGTATTCCCATAGAGGCCGTAGAGTTTCCTCGTTGCTGTCATTTGCCGCAAAACATCTGAAAACATTAGAAGATTGTTCCTGGTACATTAAAATATCCATATACTAACCATTTGTCTCTAAAGATTGCTTGAAATCAGAAATAAGTAAAAGTAACAAATGAACTGCTATCTAACTACAAACTCGCTTGTAGACGCGACAGGCACTCGATCGTGTTACATACAAAAATCCGAGCTATGTAACTGGATCAAACTGGCCGATATTCTTTAGATAATTTTCAATTTTAATGCGCTTCTTTCTTTGTCTGTTTTGAATGTTCCATCGTCGCTATTCGAACTGCCGACCACTAAATTTTGCACGGTATAATCGCATAATTTGTTAAACAGTAGAAAACACGTCATTTTTTGAGAAGCTGTCGTGCATATTGCACGTGTTGGCGAAAGGTTACCAAGGTTACAAATCCAATTTCGGATTTCACGTTCCTTTCGACCGCGAAATCTGGCAAATCTAGGATCAAAAATCCGTTTTTGGATTCGCCGAAAGGAACACACCTTAAGTTATTTTACATTGGTATGCCTGTGGTGCGGACAGGCGGGTGGACTTCAGTCACTTGATTACCGTTTTCTCGGATGGGTAGATTACCACATTTTCTTAGGTACTATGGGGCTACGCTTGCGCGTGGAACTCCACTAACACTTGTAGGGTTGGAAGACTTAAAGGAAAATGATCATGCATTAGCTCACCACTCATTTAACTTTTGACTCGATAAGGACTCTGTTTTCCTGAATTTTGTGTAGGGATTCCATACTATTCACGGTTTTCAACAGTGGAACAAGTCTCTATGGAGGCTTTCTGATCTTCTCGGTGTTGGGGTTTATGGCCAAGAGACAAGGCGTAGATGTACAAGACGTTGCTCAATCAGGTGAGAATTAGGAAAAAAAAATCGGCTTCACATATAGCCGCCTTGAGATCAAGGCTGAGTTTACAATGTGCTGGATAGCTGTTCGTGCCGACTCGAAAAGCTACCCTGTATAGTATTAACACCTATCCGATATGTGACTCTCCACTTTAGAGATCGGCGCGGCCCAGCTTCGCTTCGTTACAGAAATCGCGCCGAACTCAGCGCTCTTATGTGTAAACAGAAGCCTTATCTGGTGTGGTATTCCTGTGGCTGCAAAAGCTATTTTCTATAGTGTGAACATAGCCCAAATGTGTTATGATAATGACGATTTCTCTCTGCAGGTCCAGGCCTTGCTTTTATAGTTTATCCTGAAGCAGTTGCCCAGATGCCATTAGCTCCACTGTGGTCCGTGTTGTTTTTCTTCATGTTGCTTTTGCTTGGTCTGGATAGCGAGGTAAACGAATGTGAACTATTTGTTTAGCACGTTACACATGTATATCTTTATGTTTAAAATAGGAAATTTATGCCTTTCCCTAACCATTATTGTCCGTTCTAATAGTTATCTAGTTATTTTTGGTTCAGGGCAAAATGATGTGTTTATTAAATTGATACCCCCAGGGGTTGTATGGTTACTCACGTGATGTACTACGTTATACAACGAGGGATACCTTCTGTGAAACGTACACAAAATATTGAATCTTTGAATCACGTAATTGCTACGTGATCCTAATGTAGTTTTAAAGTGCAGTAAGACGCAGATTCAAGCTAGCAAAAAGCCGTTTTTAATAGCTGTTTGTGACTGCTTGAAAAACTTAAATCTGGCCGGTGAAAAATTACTTTCACTGGCAGGTCTCTCGTCCCATACAACTTCAAGGTCACTTGACCCCCCTAAGTTACCATAGTGACACTGCTATCATACATTTTTGCCATCTACACAAGTGGGGCTGTCAGAAAATCATTAGTAGTATTTGCCACCTCGATCAGGTGGTGACGATCTGCCATTCTTCAGCACTTGGCTCATGGACTAATATTGAGGACCTGATCGCGCAAAACCATTTCTGAGAAAATCGCAATTCTTTTGGCCTTCGAACAGAACTCAAAAGGTACCTGACCTAAGTTGAAATGTAATAAGGACGTCTGTGGAAATCAGTGCAGATTAATCCCGATACAATGAATCCCTTTATCTGAACGCAGAGCCCAGTGTCAAGATTGGTTCTCAACTGCTTCTGCTACAGAGAGATGTATCAGTTAATAGGGAGCTTGAGCAACAACGACGGCGACGGCAACGAGGACGGGAAAAAAGCAATAGGTTTGATTAGCAAAACGACAACTTTGCACGTGCATCACGCTTTTTTGCACATTTCTTTGCCGTCGCTGCACGACTACAACGTGAAAGCGCCTCAATTCGCGTTTTGTAGAGGACGCCGAGCACAAAAAAACAACTTTCTTTTTCTTTTCCTAAAACTCTGATACAGTCTTTTGACGAATTAAACGAGGTGGAATAAGCGCGATAAAGTTTGAGGCAACGCGAATTCACTTTTTAAGTGACTTTTTCGTAAACGTCGCTGTCGTTGTTGCTTAAGCCTCCCAATACCCCAAAGCCAAAACGTACCCTCGTTATAATCACATGTTTCAAGTGCCTTGCCGTTTTCAGTTTATCTGGGTTCTCCAATGTACGTTCTGGTGCCTGTTTTGACTAAAACTGACAAAAGAGATTTTGTGTTGATGGAAAAAGTTTTATTTCGTTTCTACCACCGCTGTTGAATAAACGGTATTCTGATCGTTAGATGGGTTGAACTCGCAAGGGCCCGCTCTTCGGGGAAGTAAGAATGAAGGAAATTGGAGCGTCTGAAAATACCGCAAGGTTAAACCATGTCCACCATGTTGCCGTATGATTATGTCGATTATCAGTGGACTAAACACGACCGTTTTTTATTTTTGATGGTGACTTTACTTCGATGAGCGGTAAAAATACTCATAAACGTCTACTTTGTTCAGTTTGTAGGAATAGAAGGTGTCGTGACGGCCATTGTTGACTTGTTTCCACATTTCTTCAGACGCGGTTACCGCAAGGAACTCTTCACAGCTTTTGTATGCATAATGTGGTTCGTGATTGGACTCTCCATGGTTACTAAGGTAACACCTCAACTTGTTTCTCTCTGGTTCCTTCTAAGGAAATTTGCGCTCTTTTACGCCTTCTTGTCGCGTTCGTCAGAACGCATCCCAATCTTGGTGTTCCTGTGGTTCAAAGCCACAAATTTTCGAGATATTTATGGACGACTGCCGATTAGCCGCTCCCTCTGATTTTATCAGGGGCATGCATCTTGGCCGGGAAACTGGACTCCTTTCGACTCGATTTCTTTTCTGTTAGTGACAAACGCGGATCCGTAAACAATGATTATCTCTAGTTAAAAGAATACGTTATCACAAATCAATGACTGAAAATAGCAAAAAATTATCAAACTGCAAAGACTTCTTTCTGGCTCAAATAAAATTTAAGATGAAACTCAATTTTCGTTGGTCTATATAATCAGCTCCTAAAGATACTGCAAAGAAAATTGCCTTCAGTTTCATGTAAATGCTATAAATATAATGTTAGACACTTCGTTTTAGCAGAGTGATTTTACTTAACACGTTAAACAGAGAATAACAAAGAAGGCAAAGAAGCTACACGTAAATAAAAGAAGACAATTGAATTAGTGCATAAAAACGAGTAGTATTATACTACCCATTTCACGGGTCAAGTAAAATCACTCTATCTTGCAACTTACTTCCATAAAAGGATCATGTAATATTCTGTTACAAAACATACAATGAATCAGAGCCTTCTGCTGATGCTTGTTTTCGAGAAATGTTACTGACTTGGCGTAAACATACAATGGGGAAGTTGTCTAAAAAATTTGTAATATTGGACTGTAATTTGTGCTGTGCTCTTTGACTATTTCTTGCAAACAGAAACTCGTTTAGAAAGTGATAACCTCATGTTAACTTGGCGCAAACAGCCTTTCCAGGCCTATTAACGCACGGGGTTCACGCCCAAATAGGTGCTGCGGTCAAACCTGTCTTTTAAAAGCGGCCACCCTTTGGGAATGGCTGGCTTACTGACCTCTTAACATTGGTTTGACAAACGTTAGAGTTATTCAAGAAAATGAAGGTAGTTAAAGAGCGAAATGTTTACGCCACGACAAATTGAACTCCACCTGTTTCTACCTCTTCTTGGGCCAATGAAAAAAAGTTAAATACCACTTGACGCCATACACAGTGCGAGCTGTTGCACTAGTTTGGTACATCTTCTCAAAGTGATCTTTTAACAGTCAGATCGGTTCAAACCTAAATAAAGCGGACCTCTATTAAACGGTCACTTAACAAAGTCCTGGAAATCATTTCCCTTAATTACTGTAAAACTGACCTGTATTAAGCGGTTGTGCTCACCTTTTCCGAGGTCCAAACGACTTATTTTTTATTGTCTTCACCTCCATTAAACGCTCACTTTGGGAAGACGTACCATACTAGTGCAACAGGTCGCACTGTGTATGGCGTCAAGCGGTCTTTAACTTTTTTTCTTTTGGCCCACGAAGAGGTACTAGAAACAGATGAGGGTCAATTTGTCGTGGGATAGATATTTCGCTCTTTACCTTCATTTTCTTGAATAAATCTCAAGTTTGTCAGACCTGTATTAAAAAAAACGGTCAACCTGTATTGAGCGGTCAGTGAGCCATTCCCAAAGGGTGACCGCTTAATACAAGTTCCCCGTTTAATACAGGTCAGTTTTACAGTAATTAAGGGGATTTCCGGGACTTTGGTAAGTGACCAGCTTAATGTTTGACTGTACATATAAACTATGAATATCGATGACACAACATAAACAAAACTAAAAACTTTTTTTAGGGTGGTATGTACGTATTTCAGTTGTTTGACGCTTATTCTGGTGCTGGAACAGTCCTGTTGTTGGTGGTCCTTGGTGAATGTTTGGCAATTGGATGGCTTTATGGTAAGGAACATACTCGCAAAGATGCATAACATTTTGTAACTAGTAACCCCGCCCCCGCAAAAGCCGTTGTAAATTACTTGCTGCAGAAGACGTTATCTCGTTGGGGGAGGCAAGCTGAACAAATAGGAATCTGCTAATCAGAATCCTCGAATCTTATGAGTATACAAGTATCTCTGTTATTTTTCATGTGCGAGTCATTACTGTTATTGCAAACTATCCACTGTGGGATCAGTATGAAGTTTGTTGAGCAACCTTGTGCTTTCTAACTTTTGAATGTCTAATGTGTCTCACCAAATCTCCAGAGCAAACCTCGGTCATTTTTTTTTTGAAAATATCAGCCGAAGATCGTCAGCAGTTGAGTAAAATGATTTGATATCTTAACCTGCGTTTCAGTGATGAGACAATTTTTGAAAACCGTCTGAGGATTCTTTTCAGAATTTGCGTCTCCCAGTTATCAACAACAACAACAACAAACATACACTGAAGCAAATGCATTTGTCCTCTCGAAGATGCGACAACCTCGTGACAAAAAAAATTCTGATCTCGTTATACTTAGGTATTAGTGTTTTACTTACTTTCGACAGGTCGTGACCGTTTCTATAGCAACATAGAGGCTATGTTGGGATTTCCCATCAATCCATGGTGTGGCTGGTGCTGGAAATACCTTTCACCAATATTTTGTTTGGTTAGTACAGGATGGCTTTCTCTAAGCTTTGTATTTAACCCCCAGACAAAACAAAGGAAAGTAAAGAAGGAGGGAGTCATGGATGAGAGGACAAGAGACATGCCCTCTTTACAATATACACTAAGATACGAACAGTAAGCTCGGACATCAGCATACAAAGGCGCCACTGGCAGCCGCCATCAATCCATTTATGAGCTTACTGTACCCACCCACCCCATGATGTGAATGATGTGTAACGGTTGGCCACGCCACCGGGATCTACGTCCCCTATTCTTTTCGAGCAGTGGTTCAAACGAAGAAGCAGCCAAAACGACAACAACCAAAAATTCGGAAAGCCTGTGACTTTACTGATGATAAACTCTTGATTCCTCAGATTTCTGAAACGTGACTGTTTCACTTGTACTGACAGTAACTTTGGTGTTTTGTCAATTTTCTCTCGTAAATAAAATAAAATAATTAGCGTACATTTTAGTAATAAGTTGTGAACAGTCACCTCAGTTATCCGTGGGTAAACAAATTACAATTTACAATTTTTTTTTCACAATTCACGTCGATCAAAATTGTTTAATCGAATAACAACGTCAACATGAAAAAGGTCCCCTCCATCCCAAAAAAGCCGTCGCTTCTAAACTTCGACTGCGTCCTCGATGCTCGGAACCTGAAGGTGAACCAGTGAATATCCCGAGTTTGAGTAGCCAATCACAGCGCGCGAAAAACACTATCCACTGTTTTAGAAGCTTAAAGCATTACTTAATCTCAGGATTGATTAGTGTTTACACTTTGTGGTTGGTGTTTTGGAGTGAATTTCTCCGGCATCTCAAGTCGAGAAATCTAAGTAAAATTTTGCTATTCTTTGCTAGGCTGTATTTGTTTTCTACATTTCTACTTATCAGCCACTCAAGTATCGAGAATACGTTTATCCTGGGTGGGGACAGGCAGTTGGTTGGCTGATGACCCTGTCGTCACTCTCCTTAATTCCAACGGTGATGATATACAAACTGATCAACACCACTGGATCAATCCAAGAGGTAAATATTTGACGTTTAATATAGCAATGAAAGCTTAACTGGCTAAGACCCCATAATTTATCAGGGTTTAAAAATGACAGAAGCAGTAATAAAGGTAAAGCGTGCTTGCTCCTTAGATGTTAGTAAGAGTTTCTTGACGTTTAATCCGTTTAAACGGATCAGATAATTGTTAGGTGGCTCTCTTTTTTCCCTCGGTAGAATCTATCGTACAAAGGTTAGAGGAGAATGAGCAAATGACAAATACAAATAAATCAAATAATCGTAGCAAGGTTGAGATTTCTAATTAGTTGTAGGAGAACCAGTTGGTTATTTACCGGTCTGGTCGAGGAGTTTTTGATTTTTTGAATTTTGATTCTCACGATGACACTGACCAAATCGTCGTTGTTAGAAGGTATTGTAATTCCCTTTTTATCTGAAAGTTATAAATCCACTCATAGCATCACAACTTATAAATACTTGTTTTAAAGAAAATTTTTTTTGTTGTATTTTGCTTCAATTGCAGCGCCTGCGAGAACTGACGATACCCGTTTTGTTCCATCGCGAAGAAGACAATGAGACTTCACACCTTATTAGCCAAGAAAGCAAGGCCTAATGGCTAAGAATATTTTACTTTAAATGGAGTCCCCGGCTTATTCACTCAGGAAGCAAGTGATAAAAGGATAGAATAGAAGGCTTCTGGAACCAAAAAAGCAACTGATAAGTTAACTAAACAGGTTGTAGACCAAAAAAGAAATTGATTAATAACACGCATGCGCAGGCCATTTATTACAACCCCGATCGGCGCTGCAGTAGGTATGTCTCCAGTGCCCTTGTGAATGAACTCTTAAGATTTGATATTGGGAAGCAAATTTGACCGTTTTTGAGGTTGAGACGCGGTAGAGCTTTCAACTATCTCCTGGGCCCTGTACGCTTTTGTTTTGAACTATGGACCTCCATTTATTCTCGCATAAAAACGTTAGGAACTTGATAGTCTTTTCAGAGTTTCCATTCGCTTGAGCTGGTTTATACATTTTTAAAATAATAATACAGTCGAACCTCCATGTGCGATCACCTCTTGTAAGCGACCACCTCCCATAAGCGACCGCCAATCCAAAACACCAAAATTATCCTAGTCAATGCCTTACAGTAGGAGCTTCTCGTAGACGACCACCTCCTGTAAAGAACCACGACCGCTTTTTGGGCCTGACAGTCGACGATTTTCCATTGCTTTAAACCCCTTGTCAGCGACCACTTTACGCCTTCTCTGATCTCTATGTTTGCACCATGCTACTTAGAATATATGAAGAACTTTAGTGACAACATGGAACTACACATATCGTAACGAGATTGTATGGAATAAACTACCTTCAATAAAGTAGATCTGCCTGGACCTCTTTTCGGAAGAGGCCCTCTGTGATTTTTCTTGTTTCATTGAACTTACATAGCTTTTTACCATAGCTATATCTAATAAATCAGGGTTAAAGTCAGGAAGCTTAAAGTATTCTGACATATTCATCAAATGAGAGTGGAAGAAAGAAAAGAAAGAAAATGGGAAGGGAAGGCCGGGTTGCCCCGCTACAGTTTTAATGGTTATTTAGAATTTGTTTTTTTATCGACAGAAAAAAAAAACGATGAGAAGCAACGACTTTAACGCGGAAACTAAAATAATAACTATAATCTAATTAACATTAGACGATCATTTATCGTCTAATTAACATGAGACGATTATTAATCGTCTAATTAACATTAGACGATTACAAATAGCTCTGAAGACCTCGTGCAGAACTCGTGTTTTGTAGAGCACAGAGAGTCCAAAGGTTCGAGATTGAAACACTCTGCTGATTTGGGGCTATATTGATTTTATAATATATTTTTTAAACCTCTTTTCGTCTTAAAACATGTCAGAAGACTTTACTATACTCAAAACAATTTTATACTTGCTTTCCTCAAAATGAAAAGCAGGAATCGACAGCGAATTGATCGTCATAACGGAGTCATAATGTGTGAAACATAACGTCATCGTTACAGGATTTTGCGTGCGGCAGATTGATTTGATTTGGATTGTTGTACTCTCAGTGCTTCCTGATTTGCTGTTTTTCGGGTAAAAAATATTGAAGCACTAACCGCCGTTTAAAGACCATGACCGACAGCCCATATCACCGGCTTCGTGGGAGAATAACACAACTTGATCATCCATTCACATCCGGACAGGATATCCACGCATGAACAACTGAGAAACCTTACTCCTCGAAAAAGGAAACACAGTCAAAACAGAGGAATAAGATTTGACCTTAATTCGGCAGTGTGTTAGTGGTGCAGCTTTGTCTGCACAAATAAACGTGATCTGAATCGTAAAGTTTTGCGAACGTGTTACTTGTCAGATACAACTTAAATCAATAGAGACAATATACACTCCGATCAAATGAAAGACGAAATTCATTTTCTTTTTTACTCCTCTCAGTCACGAATAAGGGTTAATGTTCATGGTAAGATATAGTCTTGGAGCCCAAACATAAACCAATTATCTGTTGACAAGTTGATTCGAATTCCAGGCCTGTTTTAAACGATTTTTGTTCCCGAGATAATTATTTGACCTGCGGCTAGAGGCAAACGGTTTCGATTATATCCAAATCTGTATCAAGGAGCAGTTTGTAGCCACCGTAATGTTCATCTATATTTCTTCTATTGAGTACAAAAGACCGATGCTCGTATACAGAAGACAGCAATGTCCATCATCTGCCCCGGTGTTACCATCGTGAGGCTCTTGTTTAATATATTGAACTTTAAGGAATCAGCAACGCACCATGACGAAATATGAGCCACTTTTTCACACAATTGCAAATAACAACAATCACCGCCTTTACAAGTTATTACCTGCACCGCACGAATCTACTTATTCATTAAGGCTGGCGCGACCTTTTAACATGCCACGTTTTAAAACCGACCGTTTTAAGAATAGCTTTATTATCTTTTCATGTCTTAAACTAACTTATTGGTTAGAGTTTTTGAATTTCGTATTTAATCTTTTTTAGCATCTCATCTCTTGTTAGCTTTCTTATTCCTTTCAATTAAGATAGATTAGTTAATGTTTTTGATCTATAATTTAATTTTTGTAACGTAAATACGCAATTCAGTTTTCGAACTGCTATGTATTTATGAATTAATAAACTTCAAACTTCAAACTTCAAACAACCGAAAACGAAGGGTACACGATCAAAAGGTGGTCTGCCTGTGGTTCAGAGGAAAGAATGGGAGAAGAATCTTGTTCCTCAGTTCAAACTCTGGACTTTTCTACAAGTCGACCTCTTGGCGAGTGGAGCGAGCCTTTTTTGGCCGCGAAGCGGCCGACCGCGAGCGACGAAGTCGCGAGTTGAAATCCGACGAGGGACTTTTTTGAAAGTCTCTTCAACCTCATCCTCAGAGTCTTCTCAAAATTTAGGGCCTGTTTACATGGAGGTGGGGGACCCCAGGTAGGTGAGGTAACCCGCTCAGGTGGGGTAACCCGCCTGTCCATATAATCTCTCATTTTCATTTGATCACGTTTACATGATAGGTGGGGTGACCCGCCAAGGCGGGTAGCCCGGTCTACCAGACCGGGTTACCCTCTCAGCCGGGGTCACAATTTTTCATGTAAACGTTTCAAGGTGGGGTAACCCGCCTGGCGGGGTCGGATTCGTGATACATCAAATTCGCGCAAAATTCGCTTTCGCGGTGTCTTTGCATTATGATTAAAGTTAACAATAGAAAGCTATTGCACTGACGGGTTGCAGCAAGAGCAACAAGTGAGTGAAGAAGTGCATTAATCGCCAAAACTCGTGGTTTGCCAGCATTTTTCTTGTTTACGTTCTTAGCCACCATTCAATAATCTTGAGAAAGTGCACCCCGGGAAGGCGGGGTTGTAAGATTGCATGTAAAGGAGGGTTATTTTCTTACCTCACCTAAGCGGGTTACCTCACCTACCTGGGGTCCCCCACCTCCATGTAAACAGGCCCTTAAATACGAGAAGAAACCTAACGACGAGGATGGTTCCACATCATTTATTGTAAGACGATGGGATATTGGAATCTTTGGAGCCCGTTTAATCGTATCAAGATGCATTTCGTTCTGTGTCCAACCTCTCCCGGGTTGTCACTGTTGAAACACCTCAGAAAGTACGCTGGCTAGAATCCGCGCCCTTTTAAGGTCTTCCGGTTCAAGTGAAATATTGAAAGAGGTATTTTAAAGCAAGTAGTTAAGGATTCCTGTACCATGGATTACACTAAAGGTGTATTCAACGTATAGCTTTCGCGTTTGCCCACTGGAATATATATATATTTTTTATCAGAAACTGCTTTCATATTCGAACTTCTTGATATCTGCACCGATCATATTTTACGACAGAACAGACAATAAGGTTGGTCAAATGAAAAAACTAATCTTGCATGACGAATCAACATGGATTTTACCGTGAGGAACGTAGGTTCTAATCAAAGTACGTATGTTAATGAGTTATGAGTATCTGTATATCAGTAAGCGTACTTCTGAGGCGTGTTAACCGGAGCGAAAGGGTTTTACAAATACGCGGGGTATTTGTCGAACGCACAACAAACTAAACACTTCTGGACCCTGTGGTAAATCCTTTTCACTACTCAGTGGTTAGTGACCATCTCATTGCTGTTAATTTGACGGAGAAGTCACCGGTATGTAACAAATTGGTATAACCACATGGCACACTGCAGGATAGTATTATCTTTAGACCGGCAAATCCAGCATTTTGAGACTAAGCTAGGTAATTTGGTCGCGTTTGATGTCGACAGAAAACTTGTCCCACAAACTGACTTCCGTCCGAATTACTTAGCATTAATGCGTTCAAGGGGCTAGGCGAAATTGCCAAAATGGGAAGAAAAAGCTGAAAGAGAGTTAACTTATAACTTGTTTTAATGTTGATTTGAAGTCTTGGAGCCAATATCTTTCAACGGATCTTAAGATTACAACTTACCGGCCTCGTTCAGTTCACCAAAGAAGTTAATATTTAAAATACTTGGGATTTGACCGTACTATTTTTAAACCAGTCGGCCTTCAAAGATATTGATCTCGTGTTTGGCAAAACTCGCACGTTTGTTTAATGTTTGTAATGTATGTACTGGAGGATGCAAAAACATGATAAATTACTCGCACCGGCGAATTCAGTTACGAGGAGATGAAACCTTCACCGATTTGTGAAGCTGCCGATTAGTTAATGATCTTCTTAAAACGAAAGACACTAAACTCTAAATACATGTAAACATGCTTTGGCGAATAGTCTGGATGGTCAATGTTGTTATCAACTTCATAATTCAGTTAGTAACGTCTCGATTTAAAGGTCATTGTGGAAATATTAGGCCTGTCTTCATTAAAAGTTCAGAGCTCGTCAACTGAAAAGAGAAATGCTTTAAGATAATGTATTATCAGACGATTGCGGATGTCTAAATATCATCTACGCGACGTTCTGTTACTAGAATTAAACATTCTTGTCAAGCCGTTAAGTCTAATTTTGGACTAAATGTTCGCAAGGTCAAGCAACGTGCATCTGCCGCCGGTATTAAAACTTACATACTGACAGAACTGCGTGCATAATTCAGTATCAGTAATGAATTGCACTGAGTGAAATTGGTCGATAATATTCGTACATTTGGTGCTTTGCAAATACATTTGCATTTTGAATTTATTCAAATTTAATCCATTGCCTGCGGTACAATTTAGCCCAGACACAAAACTTTCAGGAGCCAAATGTTCCGGCTTAGGGAAATGCAAAGGCTGGCGCGAGATTTTGCATTTCTGGCCGTCCTTTTTCTTTAGAAATGTTTCAAAAGTTTGGCCTCAGACGTTTGCCCATTAGAGTCGACTGCTTAAGCTTCTTTCAGTGCAGAGTGGGACTAATCATGCCCAAAACAATTTAAAAAAGGAGCGGTAAAGTCAAAATGCCTTTGTTTAAATAAACCGGGCCTATTGTGTTCATTCATTCACGTTAAGAAGTAGACTCGATATTGAATCTTCAATGAGTATACATTGGCAAACAAAAACCCATCGATATAGACGCTTTTGCGGTTTGACTTTTTTCAAGGAAAATACAAACTTATCGGGCATAGGGTAAGTCAATAGTTAACATTTTTTTTGCTCTGTACAATGTTATCTAGGAAATGTGTGTATAATTTTTCTGCTTTTTATTGCATGATGTTGTGTTTAATTACTCCTCATTATAAAGACAGTGACCTGGAATACAAGATGGGCGTTGAAATCAAGGAGCGAGAGACTTGGTCTTCAAAGATGGATTTCCTTCTCGCTTTGATGGGTTTTTCCATTGGCCTCGGTAACATATGGCGGTTTCCTTATCTGTGTTTTAAAAATGGTGGAGGTAAGTGCAGAATTATGGCCATTTGATGAAAAAAAAAATTGACATGTAGTTTTTGAATTGTGGGAGTTGGGAGAATGTCGAGGTCAATGTTCCAGAAATAGTAGTCGTTTTGTGACAGAATGCACCGCATATTCTAATTAATATTCTATATTTTAATAATTATTATTATACATTGTCCTCGTTATCCGTCTTCTCATTGGCTAAGAGTCTACAGCTAATTTTACAAATCAGCGCAACCTACAGATTAGTTAGTTATCTGCTAGCAGATAACTGACTAATCTGTAGGTTGTGCGCCCAATGCATGATTTCCAATAACTTAAAGACAATGTAAAATAATATCCTAAATAATCAAGGTTTCCGTAAGTGTTATCAGCCTCGGCTTTCGGCTCGGCTGATAACACTTACCTCGACCTTGATTAGTCCGGATATCACAAAAACCTCAACCAATAATTGTTTAAAAACAAGCGAAAAAGCTAAAAGAAAGGTCAAATATAGTAACCATTATTTGTATTAAGTACACCGAGCGTCAACAGCCAAGGGCACCCAACGAGAATGTAGTTCAAAACCACTTAAATATAGCATTGTTGAACGTATTTTATTATTTAAACGGTAGATATAGGCATATTTTTTTCTCCTAAAAATTTTTCTTCTGTTCGGATTTCCTAGCTGAAAGTCTAGTGATCAGAAAATTCTAGGGATCAAAACTTAACTTTTCGAAAATTTCAGCCAGAAAAAAGGCTCCAGAAAATTCTAGGTGACCTTTTTAGGTTCAAAATCCGTTAAAAATGGGCTATTATACCATTTTTAGATGTTCGAAAATCCTAGGAGAGGCAGGCAAGCAAGAAATTTTACAACAAATGTTCCCAAAAATTCTAGATCTCAAATCGTCTTCCGAACAGATATTTTCCAAAAATTGACGTTGGGTGCCCCTGAATAGCAAATGTAAATGCTTCACATACGCTCCAGTTGGTTGGCTCGAAAGTGAATGACAGAGCAGCCGTTTTAACGCGGAAGGAGCGTAACACCACACTTTGCTGGTTCGATCACCAAGTGATACAACAAAATAACCATTTGGTCCGCTGGCTAATGATTTGTGCGGTGTATAATATAATAACTGTTCATCTCAGTGTCTGAGAAAGAGGTCGATATACTGGGGTCATATCTTTGCCTACATTTCTTGCCTCATTGCTTATCATTCTTGGAGCACGCTTTTAAAATAATTTCTGTTAATACTGAAAGAACATGGCTTAGAGAATTTCGCTTTTAAAAAGTTGAAATTTTAATATGAATGTGTTCCTCATTAGCGTTTTTTTCCATTCAGAAACTTTATACTTAATGATGGCGGATATTTTCCTTATATTGCAAAGCACAAAATTGCTCAGGTTAATCAGCTCTTTCAGCTTTTGAATACAATTCTGTCATTCACGTGTACGGCGACGCCATTTGAGATGAGCAAGGATTCCCCGACATTATATAACCCTTTATGGGGTTAGGTTCCTCTATATGTCAATTAAAACGAACTGACTTACAGCTTAAAAAAATGAAAATTTTAGCCTAGTAAGTAAAGTAAATTTTTTGCTCTATAAAGAGATTGAGTCTATAAAGAGATTGAGTTCATATAGTCAATCAAAAAAGAGTCCACGAGTTTTAGGCCTCGTTTAATCAGGTGAGCCAGTCCGGAACTATAATCAATAAAATGTTCGCTAGGTTTAAAAGAGGCAGACTGGCGCGCCGGCTGACTGATCGCAGTCTCTTTTTCTGTAGTCCGTCGAGCAAAACGCGAGATCTCCGTAAGTGGGTATGCAACAAGCCATCCCGTTCAACCGAGCTGGCTCACTACATATAAACAAGCTCTCAAAGAGCTATTCTCATGTTATCTATGCAAAGCTCTACTTTTCGCCAAAGATCATAGCGATACAAGCCAGCCTTCACACTCTGTTGTCTCCCCTAAAACACCCTCATTTTCATTTAAGTTTCAATGCATTTAGCAAGAAAGTAGTAAGTGTGAGACACTACGTAATTTAAAATATAACGTTTTCTTCTGAGGACGGGACTGCTATTTTGTCATTGGTCATTCACAGCACACGAAGCACCCTGTGAGCATAGTCTCCTTTTGTCTTGTTGATCGAGGAGGAGAAAAAGAGCCTGAATCGCGTCAAACCTATGTCGCCAAAGTCCAAACTTCGTGACTATTCAATTTTGTTTTCTCTCATCAAACCGATTTTTTTTGTGAGTGCGATCATCTGATTATTGATAAACCGATGGTCATAACCAAACCCGTTGTGGCAAGCGCACGGCTATTAGGCCTAGGGTAGAAACTATTTTGGAAATCAGCGCATGTTTAGATATGCTGTTACTCAATTCATGCAGTGTTTTTCTCGGTTATCATTAGATCCCATCGACCGTACCCCCCTTCAGACGCCTCATGAAATTTACACAACGTAGTTTGATCTTTTACTTTTTAGGGTTAAGCACTGTTTCGAAACTGGTTAGGTTCTTTTTTCGGGGGTTGGGGTTGATGGTATATATACGTAAATTATTACCTCTCCATCCAGCAAATCCTCAGTGAACTAGTGGTTAGTGTGGTGCACTGGGTCATCTTGGTCGTGGGTTCGAATTCTACTGTCTTTCACACCAATTTGTTTTCTTTCAAATTGAAGAGAGTTGGACTTTCATGAACGTTTCCACCTTGAAATATCATCTAAGTGTGATATAAAAGCAGAAAACAGTTCTACCTTGTGTAAATTTCGTAAGGGCAGAAAATGGCTACAGCCGATGGGATCTAATCCTGACCGTTTTTCTCGACTGGTACGCCAAAAACGAGAAACCGAAAGAAAGACTCTTCTTGCAGGGTGCATACGAAGGCGCAGCCATTCCCAAGGGCGCGGTACCTTCAAAGCAGAAAGATACCTTCATTTTTTCCGTTACACTAGGGATCGAGCCATTGACATTCCGCTTTTCAGTCAGGGGCCTGTTTCTGGAAAAGCTGTTCTATGTTTCCCGTGTTTGCACTCAAGATCAAAGTTTCAATTATTTTGAAATTGATACTATGAGACTATCAGTTAATGAAGCAAAGTTGACCGGTCTGTGAGCTGGGAACTGTTGTACTATTAAACTGGTTTTCATTTCAAACTTTGCCTTTGGTTATCACGCCTTTCGAGAAACGGGCTCCCAGTGCTCTAATCTCTGCCCTAACTAGTCTTTGAACTGTGCTAACTTGTGAGTAACTTCATATTTGCAGGTTGCTTTCTCATTCCCTATTTGATTTGCTTGATTGTGGCTGGTGTACCCGTTTTAGTGATGGAGATTGGCCTGGGTCAATACATGAGTCAAGGTGGAATCACGGCTTGGAAAATCTGTCCAATTTTCCAGGGTGAGAACAATGCAAATTTAATTTCGTGAACGAAAAGATTTGCGCGGATAACGAAAAGTAAAAAATATCTTGAGTTCTTTTTTTTTAACAAAGCAAGCCTAAAATTATTCCCTAGGAAGAATTTCTCTTAAATATTTTTACAAATATTGGCTAACCGAGCCTTTAATGGCTTGTTCACATGCCAGGCACTTCAATGTAGGGCTAGCTGTCCTCTAATGTCACCTGGATGGATCAGATTGACTATGCTTAGACAAGAACAATTCAGTAGTAGTGGTTTTTAAACAGAATTGCAAATTCGTCTTTACTTTTTTGTGTGCCTCCTTTTCTAAATTTTTTTTTTTATCTTGTCGACATTGGTTGGAGGAACAAGGAAGATGCTGTGCTCTTAAACAATTTAAACTTTCTATAAAACAAGCTGCTAAAATTATATTAATACCGTCCTTTCCTTTCAACCCGGCTACCGATGAGCTCGAAGCTTTAGACTGTCTTTACTAGTCCAGCACAAGGTCTACTGCTACCGTTATGAGATCTCTGCCCACGGTACCAATCACAATCAGTTAAAAGATTTTTAATCAAATTTAGCTTTTGGGTTTAACAATTTTTTGATAGCTTTTTATTGTTTGTTTTGTCCTTTTTTTATTGTTAATATTTAAAGCCGTGACTGTAAAAAAAATTTAATTGTTATTTGTTACCATCGTTGATTCTGTCTTATTTTAAATTGTAAGATTTTCCAGGACCTCTTTGAAAATCACATTAACGAATGAGCCTCTTGGTTAAACATTAATTAACATTAATGAATTATTATTATTATTATTATAATTATTATGATTTTTATTACCATTAGGAACACATTTATATAGTTATTAGAGTTTGGTACCGACATACCCGCACATGTTACCGTAGTTATACCCTTAACAAACGCACTAGTTAACCATACTATATGCTACTTTTTGATTTTTGAATTGTTATAGTTATATCAACAAATTACAAATATCGATTAATGTCGCAATCGTTTCATAGATTCAAAAATTAAACACGTCAAGATAACTTACTAATTATAAAGTTTTTTTTTTCTCATATCAGGAATCGGCTATGCCGGTATACTTGTGATGCAGTACATCAACATTTACTACACTGTGATTCTTGGCTGGGCTTTATTTTACATGTTTGCTTCATTCCAGTCGACTCTTCCATGGTCTCGATGTGGTAATGAGTGGAACACGCCAAACTGTGTGGATTACACTAGTGAAAGTCAACCCGCAACTGAAGTAAATGATACCATTAAGAACCTCACCATTCTTGCCAACCAAACGATTGCAAATGTCTCAAAAACAATATCAGCAAGCCAGGAATACTGGGAGTAAGCGAAGTCAATTATTAAACTGTTTGTAATGACAAAGTATGGCTGGTGCTACATGTATATAAAGTTTGTAGTATTAGGAGTCAAACATTTCTTTCTCGATAGATGCCTCTCAAGTTCTTGTCATGTTGTTGACCCCGTTTTGAGTACTTCTGATTAACGTTCGCGTTTCAGCAGACCAGTTGTGACAGGGAAAAACTGCAATTAACAGTATTTAATTTATTTATTGTGATTTGTTTTACCTGACCAAGAAAGCTGTCATTCAGGTTGTCTCTCTCCGGAAAGTCGATTTCCGAACCTGCTCCCAGAGGCTTGTTAGCTGCGCCGGTATCGCAGAGGTCAAAGGTTCGAATCCTGTACAAGCGTGAATCCTTCGAGGTTTTTTTTTTCGGAAGTGCAAAAATTATTTTAAATCTCTCCTTTCTCTCAGGAACAGAGTGTTACGCGTTTCTAATGGTTTAGACGAACCAGGACCAGTGAACTGGGATCTAGCCTTATGCCTGTTGTTGGCCTGGATTATTTGCTATCTATGCGTTTGTAAAGGGGTCAAGTCAAGCGGAAAGGTGAGCAAGCAGCAGTCACAAGGCTGCAAACTTGCTGCTCGGTGGATGGAATAAGGATGTAATGCGGGACCCCTCTATGGTTTTCATTTCAACGCAACATTACTGATGTTTCAACATACCGTTTCTGCAAGTGCATTCTCCTGTTTTGATAGGGTAGTTTTCATTCCAAGCTTAGAACTAAGAGTTAGAAATTTCTTCCACTGAACTAAAGTACTTAGACTTTCAAAAATGTCCTTCGTCGGATTTCGCTCGCGGTCGGCCGCTTTGCGGCCAAAAAATGCTCGCTCCGCTCGCCAAGAGGTCGACTTGTAGCAACTCTATAAAGTACCATGTTTCTATGTTTGTCAATGTTTTTAAAAACGTGGTCATATTTGCGAACCGCTGACTTCAAACCGCGGGTAGTCCTACTGAGGGGGTGCGGGAGGCACAAGGTTGAATTTGCACGTTTTTAAATAACGTCTATAAAATTAAAGAACTGAAATTTTCTTATAAAGATACATGACAAGGCTTAAACAGTAATATAGGACTTTGGAATTCTCATAAGTTGCTAACAATTTATTGAAGTTGCCAGAAAGTTGCTCCAAATAGCAAAAGTTGCCAAAAAGTTGCTGAGCAACCTCTGACTGAGGCCGACTCCAGCACTTTAAGACTCTTGAGGTTGGCCTTGCCTTCGCCTTTTTTTCTCGTAGACAAGAATCTCACTATTACTTAATGACCACGTTCTGTTTTGCAGGTTGTGTACTTCACTGCAACAGCTCCATATGTTTTACTGACAATAATCTTGATCCGAGGCGTTACCCTGCCAGGAGCTGGTGAGGGAATAAAGTTTTATCTCACGCCTGACCTTTCAAGGCTTAAGGATGGCCAGGTAACTACCTTCAGTGTTATTGGTTTGAACCGATTGAATGAGCATTTCATTTTCTTCAATGTGATAATTGGCATCTTGGGGCTCCAGAATAGACCTTTTTAGCTTGGATGTTTTGTTTTCCCATTTCAGACCATGTGATGGTATCCCAGAGAACTGTTTCTTTCAAATGTCGTCATATGCACGTGCGTCCACGTGCATATGTATGCGTAATCAATGAAAAGACAAAAAGGAAAATTCCCTGGAGAACACCACGTGGTCTGAATTGGGAAAACAAAACATACAAGTTAAAAAGGTCTATTATAGCTATGAACTATGAATTTTAGAAAAAATCGGAGTTAGCCATCGTAAGTTGAAAGATGTCGGCGAGATCCCTTATATGTAATGAGAGGGCGTTACCATGCATCCTTTTAGACAAGAAAGAGAAACTCAAATTCTCTACTTATGTATAAGCCATAAAACGTGTTTTGGGACACCTATCGCTATGATGGTACTAAAATGGGAAAGACTAAGAATGCTGCTTGTTCGCTTCCCTGTTACCCCCAATCGCCAATCTTAGCCTTTTATAGACGACTTTTCTACTAGGTTTCTCTCAATGCTTTCCTTTTAAGTGAGACTCGCCAGTTTGACGAATATAGCACTTTTGTAACCCGCTTACTTGTCAGGTCTGGATTGATGCTGGTACACAAGTATTTTTCTCGTATTCCATTGGAATGGGAAGCATGACAGCATTAGGAAGCTACAACAAGTTCAAGAACAACTTCTACAGGTACACGAGCAGTTCGTAACAATAAGGCATACGCACGAGTACTACTGTTACTTTTTTCGAGAATTTTAAATACCCCACGTTCAATATATTAAAGTTCTAACGACTCCGAGGTTTTCTGGTCATTATTCTCTATATATTTGGTTTCTTTGTGCTCCAGTCTCTTCTGGGAATTGTGAGACAATGGAGTCGAGACAAAGTAGTCAACTCCATTCTGTTTCACTCCTTTTACGGGTTACGATGAGTTCAAAAAAATTGGCCTGCTCCCAATGTATGGGTCTTCATAGCTCAGTTGGTAGAGCACTGCAGCGCTAACGCAGAGGCCAAGGGTTTGAATCCCTCTGAAGTCCCGAAAAAAAAAATCGGATTAAATTGCTTAAATTGCAGTTACCACTGCGGCGATCTTATCTTCATTTAAATATTACCTTTTTGTTGCTTGAGTGAAGGATGCTGTCAGGACGGCAAAACCTTCACTGAATCTAAACAACCGTGTTTCGCCGGCGCTGTACCATAGGGGAAGATCAAAGAAAAACAGACTTGTTGACGTAGGGCCTGCTGTTTACATGGAGGTGGCGGACCTCAGATAGGTGAGGTAACATGTGGTGGGTCACCCCACCTATCATGTAAACGTGATCAAATCAAAATGAGAGATTATATGGACAGGTGGGTTACCCCACCTAAGCGGGTTACCTCACCTACCTGAGGTCCACAACCTCCATGTCAAACAAGCCCTCAGAGGTCCTTATCGGGGAATTCTAGTTGAAATCATTGTTTTTCGTTTATTTCCGCCCGTTTCCTTTAATATCTGGCCAAGATTTCATTTAATCAAAAAATGACGCCATTAAGTTAAAATGTTGGAAAATTAAAAGATATTGGAGTTTGGGGTTGTTAAAAATTAAAATATGATGTGAATAAATAGTAGACCAATATCAGATAGTCCACCACCACAACAAACCGCCTCCAAGCCCATTAGCGGACTAACAGGTTTATGTGTACAGCGTTCCTACCCTCATTTAATTCCTTTCCAAATCAACATCATTTCCGACAAAAAACAACGATTAGGCCCCCTTAAGGTTTGTTGCTTCTTACAAGAGGACTATGCTACGGGGAAATGGTATTGCAGTAGGGTACTCCTCAGTTGGCTTTTGACACTCTAAAGACTGTGTTTTACTCTTGTGTAGGGATTCCATAATCTTTGCGGTTTTCAATAGCGGAACAAGTTTCTATGGAGGCTTTCTGATCTTCTCTGTGTTGGGGTTTATGGCCAATAAGCAAGGAGTAGATATAGAAGACGTTGCCAAATCAGGTGAGAAACTGTTTCAAGGTGAACGAAGTTAAACGGCTTCAATGACAGTTCCATGTCTTTCTTCCCCTCTATAGGTCCAGGCCTTGCTTTTATAGTTTATCCTGAAGCAGTTGCCCAGATGCCATTAGCTCCACTGTGGTCCGTGCTGTTTTTCTTCACGTTGCTGTTGCTTGGTATGGATAGCGAGGTAAATGACTCTACAAAGCCGGTTTTAGCTCTATTAAAGTACATGATTTTTCTAACGGCTTTGTATGTATTTATTTGAGGGACCCCTGTTAAAACCCCGCTATAATGAGACTGGGACTTATTGAACTACTATCTGGAAGAGGTTTTGAAAAACACCGAAAAGTTACTTGATCGCGCAACATCTATAAGTGGGAAGTTTTAAAATTTTAGTCCTTGCAACGATGATCACGTCGTTGAACGATGATTTTTTAACAAAATCCGTCGGCCTTGTCTCCTTCATACTTCTTTTATTGCTCAAAACGAAGGGGACCTAAAGACCCAACAGTGCCTTTCGAAAAGAGTAGTGAATTCTCTCCGGTGGTGTGATCTAACTTGCACATATCATTCATATCATGGGCTGGGTTGGGTGCCCTTGGCACCCGAGATTAAGAATGTCAACATATAGTGCTAAGAGGACGCGCCTGTTTTCCTCTAATCTATGTCGTTTCTTTTCGTTTATTAGAAATACCTATTAACGTCTCACTTTTTCAGTTTGTTGCGATAGAGGGCGTGGTGACAGCCGTTGTTGACTTGTTTCCTCGCTTCTTAAGACGCGGTTACCGCAAGGAACTCTTCACTGCTTTTGTATGCGTAATCTGGTTCCTTATTGGTCTCTCCATGGTTACTGAGGTAATTATTTTGACTTATAGCGATAGTCTCCTTCGTCAAATATTAACCTCTACAGTTTTAGATCAATGTGGAGAAGCGGGTTACCAGCAAAACTTTGTAAAAAAAAATTAAAAAATTTGTAAATTGCTTTTCTACCCACGAAGCACATAGGAGTTCTTATGAACTCGTTTACACGTGTCCGTGCGTTCCAGATCGAATTGAAATTTGGAAGTGTTGGTGTTTGAGGAGAGGGAAGATCTTATCTACTAAAGATCGATCCTATCAGCCTTCGTGTTATGAAGTCCATCGCTATAAAAGAGCGTTTTCACTTACATGGCCAGCACCTATGCTAATTTAGTGGGTAAACGCATCGGTTACGTTTACAATATTAAAATTTATGCATTAAATTAGTCCTTGTTTTGATTTTGTATAGATATTAAATGGCCAAACATGCTGAATTATTTTTATCAGGGTGGAATGTACGTGTTCCAGTTATTTGACGCATACTCAGGAAGTGGTTCAGTTCTTTTATTGGTGGTAACCTGTGAATGTTTAGCCATTGGATGGGTTTATGGTAAAGTGAATGGCTCAATTTAAGTTTCTGGGAAACTGCCCACCTACCCCTCCCCTAAGCTAGCATTAACACTCATTTCTTACTTAAGGCAAAATGATGGCTTAGGGGAGAGGTAGGTGGGCAGTTTCCCAGAAACCTAAATTGGTCCTGTTCAACCATCTCAGTACTAAAATATTTATTTCAAATAGAAATCAACAAAACAGAGAGACAAAAGGGCTGCAAAACATATCCTTTTTTCATCCTTGAAAAAAATGAAAGTCCAGCAACGTTCGGTTGTGGTGGTATTAATCTTGCTAAATTCAAATGAAAATCAGTTACCTATTTATATATTTCTTTCATTTTCTACTTGGTGATCTGACAAAACCGTAGCTAGTACAAATCAGGTTATTCACAAGCAAAACCTTCTAGACAGGTTTCTTTTCTCAGTTTTTGTACGAAGCGGAATAGCCAGCATTACAGTGCGACTGCTCGAACCAGGACACTTGGAAGAAGATTATCCAATCAAAATTTTTTAATGAAAACAAAAGATTCTGAAGGTGTTTTACAAACGAACCAAAAACATAAATTTGAAGCCTGTTTCCTGAGAGGTCAGGTACTTTCAAACGAGTTGAACCTTGAATTTTACTGGTCCTTGAGAATCTTGAGAATCTTTCTTTTGTTTTCAAAAGGCGTTGTGATTGGGTAATCTTCATCTAATTGCCTCGGTTCAAGTTGTCACACTGTGTCTGTGTGGGTAGCAGGGAAGGTAATATTTTATTGAAAAAATTCACAAGGAAAACCCATCACACAAGGAAAACCCATCCAAGCAACTTATTACATCACGGCTTAGTTTAAGTTCTCACCAGAGTCAAATACTTAATACGTTTGTCCAATTTTTTAATGAAATACTGTTGCTTTAATGCTTTTTACTTGAAGTTGCATTATCTTAACCGGATTTAACGGAAAATGGCATGAACTTGCCACTGAAAGTTGAGTGAATGATATTCATTATTGTGTTTTGTTTAATTCTTATAATTAACAGGCCGACGCCGTTTCTATGACAACTTTGAAAGCATGCTTGGATTTCGTATCAATCCCTGGATTGGCTGGTGTTGGTGTTTTCTGGCACCGATATTTTGCATGGTAAGAGTGCGATCCCCATGCAAAATTAAACGTATGCCGTGTGCCTGTATAAACATAACATCCAACTAGTTGACTTCCTAATGGGGAAGACGGATTACGTAATTTACGACACTCTTCGCTAAATAAGCTTATCAGTTGCCTGGAAACCAATAATGCGATGACGTCAAGGCGGATACCAACCAAACTCGATAGAGTTTTAGCAAAGAGACGATAACGCTTTCCCTACAATCCTTGTGGGAGTCACACGCTGTGCACGTACGAGTTTCGCGCTCGACGAGATTAGAGGCTTCGAGCCTTGCTCCGCTCATTATTATTATTATTATTACTAGCATTATAAAAAGGTCGCCACTTTATTCTACCATTTTTTATACTTAGCAATAGTGGGGACTTTTCGTGATGATGAGGAAAACATTGTTGGTTCTTTTGTGTGTTTTGGCATGGTTATTGTTCAGAGTCTTTCCAGTCTTTTGCATTCTGAGCTCATTTGATGATCGCATGCAGGTCCGCAATACCAAGAAACAAACCAAAATAGCCCTAATCATTCCCAAATCGGAGAAAATACTGATTTAAATCGATCTCGAGTGGAAATATCAATAAAACTGAAAAAATAATTTATTTAATTAATATAATTAAGAGAAGAGTGTTGCGTAGTTGAGAATAAATACTATCTGTGCTCAATTTCTTTTTTATTACCTCGTAGTTCATCTTCCTCTTCAACCTTGTGACCTATTCTCCACTTTCGTACGGAAGCTACAAGTATCCAGGCTGGGGACAGGCGATTGGATGGATTCTCACTGCGTCTTCGTTGTCCTTAATTCCAGCTGTCCTCATATACAAACTCCTGAATACCACTGGAACTATCAGGGAGGTAACAACAGATATTTATATTTGTTATTCAGTTGTCAAACTTGGTCCTTTGTAAGAAATTCTGGAATCTCTTGGGGCCGACTGGAGTGTGTCAATGGCTTTTATTTTCATATGAACTCGGTTTCATTTGTTGTTTGAGCAGGGGGAATATATGACATAATAATCCACAAATACATGTAGACTGTCTGAAAAGCTTTGATTGTTTGAAGGGAAGCGCTGGGCTAACGAAGTAGCAAGTCATATCATTAGTGGCATATTAATTTTTTGTTCATATGATTAACTTTTTATTCAAGTCCTTTTAAACGCGAAGCTATAAGTCAGGTTTAATTGTTGTGAATTCGAACAATATTCGTTCGTTCGTCCTGTTTTCGAAGGCAAACTTGTTATTGACTAGAGAGGAATATTCATAATTGCCAGAATACGTTTTTTAAAACTGCAAACCTGTATGCTGCTGTTATTTCTTGGTAAAATATTGGGCTCTTTCAGCCAGTTACCCTAGACACACTCCAGGACCTGTTGACTTCTTTGAATTTTGCAGTGTACTTATAGCCTCGATACCTCACCCAGATTCTTTTAGGCAAATAAATCGGTCAAACAATCTTCTTTGTGCAAACTGAAATTGCAGTTGGTGGCTCCCTTCTCTTGATAACTAATAGAATGTAATGGTTATGAAGCCTGTGAGACTATTTTGTTATTTGTTTTTGTGGACTTGACGGTGCATAACGTTCAACAGTATTCCTATTATTTTTGTCTTATTGACCAATAAAACCTAGAATTAATTTTGATATTCAGTCACAATTTTTGAACTGAAAACAAAGAACTGCGTTCGGTCAGGTAGCTCCCTAGATGAATTGCAGCAACTTTCTTATTCACATTGATGCTCAACGCCTTTCATAACCGGTCTCTTCTACTAACTTTGCCCTCTTCGCCCTCTTCAACTGCCTGAATAAAACGTAATACTTTTCTGAGGGATTTCACGAGGGGTCCAAAAATACAGTACCTCATCACCTGTTTTTTTGCTTTTCAACATTCTATGCTGACATTAGCGGCGTTTACAAGGCTACAAGCTTTTAAAGTAATTATCCAAGGAAGACGGGAAGCAATTTCTTTTGTTATGGTGCAACACGCTTTCCTACAGGAATATTTTCATTTCTTACACAGAAAATGCATAAACCTACAAAAAGGCAGGTTAAGAAATAAAATGTATTTTGACTCCATTTTAAAGGGCGTTTTTTGTGTTTAATTTGGACCAATTGTAAGAGTTGCAAACAACAGCCAAGGATAGTTCACAATTTTTCTAGTTCCTCACATAGGATTTCTGTGTTACTTAGACTCAGACGAAATTTTGTTATAAGGAAGTTGGTTAGAAAACAAGGAATTAGTATACATGCTGATTTCGCCGGTAAAAATTAATGCCTGAACAAATCAGAAGCGCAGTGGAGAAAACTGTCAAGTTGGTACCTTGAATTTCGTTCTTTCCTCCTCATCTGGACAATCACTTAATCATCTCATTTTCTAACGCTGCGTTTCAAATTGGTGTTTTGTAGTCATGCATAAAACAACAACGTCAAGTGATTCTGAATCACTGCATCTTCTTACACATTACAGAAAGCAGAACTGAACCTTCCATTAGCAAGTGGGTTTATTTGCCGTAACGGTTAGATTAATAACACTGTTAAATTCATAAGATAATAACTGAGGGGAAAAGAAGTTATTAACCTATGAAAATTATGCGTTATTTCCCATGAAAAACTTCAATTAGCCAATCACCTTCAAGAATTTGACACAAAGAACGAATTCATCATAATTATTAATTACACGCTTTTGTGTTGCAGCGCGTGAGAAAGTTGATAACCCCCGATATTGATGAGAAAAGAGGCGAGGAAGTTCAACTGAATGGCGAAATAGAAGAGAAGGCATCGAATGACAATGTTAAACTTTTCACGAGTTTGTAGGCCGATCAAAATTTTAAAAGCCGCTAACACAGTGGGCCAGTTTGTTTTAACCTTCACCGTAGAAAGATAAGAAGACACATGAGTGAACACTAATGACTTGTGTATTCCAGGTTTGGAGTGTAAAAACACGCACGATTATCTAGGGAGTGAATTTCTCGTGTCTTGTATCAAAATATTTCATTCTTTTAAACGTAAGTTAAATGATAATGTTAGTGGTTTTGTTTTAATTTTAAATGAATTTATTTCTGAAAGAAATAAATAAGTTTATCCTCAATGTGACTGATAAATATTGCTTTTCTCCAGTTACCAGTGAGGGGGCATAACTGCCATTCGGGACATTATCATATAAATCAGTTCTTAAGACATGAACGCGAGGCACGAAGCCTCTGTGCTCAAGAAATTCAAGAAAACGTTTTCTCTCCCTAAAGCTCTACTTTACTCCAGTGGAAGGCGTGTGTGCTCCCACACAACTTAATTTGCTGGAAACAACATTCTTGTGTTTCTGGGTTTCCGAGCTTCATATGCTTTAACTGAATAAACGACAACTCCTCTAGTGACCAAATTCTTCACATAATATGGACTTGTCAATATTGTGTTTCTTTTCGAACAGAGCTCTCCCAAAGCAGGACCTCTCCATTCCAACATCAAAAAATTGATTTAACATGTGAATGAGTATGAAGAAAGAATCATATCATATGATTCTTAGTTAACAATTTGAAAAATACTCAATGAAACATTAAATTATTCAATTATTATGAAATAATTATCAAGTCTTTCAGTATCTTGCATACTTTGTTTAATTGTGTTCTCCCAGCCATTTACTTTGCCAATTTTGCGATTTTTTTTCCCCGCTGTCTTATATATGCTTAAGTGATTACTATTCTCACCAGAAGTCTTTTTTGATTCCCGTCTTCTCATAAAATTTATGTTATTTCACAAAACTTCAGTTCTCCTGTTATTGAATTTTACTTCTGACCCCTCTTTCTCTTCATTTTTGGGTGACAAAAGGCAAATCATAATTATGAACAAAAATAATAAAAATAAATAAACGTGTTATATTTTTCAATGACAGTTCTCTTGGAAAGCTGCTCTTGCTCGCTTTTGGTTTTTCCACTTTGACTGAACAAGACGTTTATTCACGGTCACTTGAAGGAAAACTTGTACAATTCGTTAAGTCGTAAGTGATTATTTTGGTTGTAGTTATTCGTTTAATTCAAAGGAAAAACCATCCGCACCCAGGATTCGAAGAGAACGCTCGGTTACCATGTGTTAGCGAATGCGGATGGACTTCTGAATCAAAACAAAGCGTGTTTCTAGGCTTTCCTACAAGAAATGCCCGGGCAGAATTGACCAGAAACGACAAACGTCTACTTCAATGTGAGTAATTCAACGTTTTTAAACAAAAATTTAACCTTTATTAAGTCGAAACCCCTTGTTTCCTAAAGTCCATGGTTAAACCGAATACGCCAAGAACTGGTGATCACCAAAGCAAAGTTCTGAATGTAAACGAACTCCACGTGACACCAAGTACTCAAAACTCCGTAGAAACCTCTCGTACGCTACAACTTACAATCAACCATTTTCATGGGTGACGACAGGTCGTGACAGATGGAAAATCAACCGTATATATAGATTTAGCTAAGGGTAAAGTCGAAGTTTTCGTTGATAAATTTACAATTTACTTCAATCCATGAACTTGTAAACATTGCAAAGAAATCCACTTGGAGTTGAGCTTGCGATCAGTTGAAAACTAGTAACTTGTAAGCGGATAACTGACCTAAAAAAACACGTTATGTCGATGGGTCGACAACTGAGCCCGCGATATGGTCATATGACACTGGTTAGCGGATGCACTATTTTGACATGACAGCTGTCAATAGACCACGACATGGATGTGCAATACTCTGGTTGCAGGCTCCCACACTAGCTAGAAAGTGTGAGATTTCACAATGGCTTCCCTATGGAGCGGACGGACAGACGTACGGTCACGTGACTACCAAAATTTCTGGGATAGATAGATAATCAAATTTTCTTAGCTATGGGGCTTCGCTTGCGTGGAGCTCCGCTATAAAAATGTCAGTCTGTCTGGCCAACATTTAGATGAATTAAATAAGGGCCACTTTTCGGCCGCAGAGCCAAAGCTTGAAACAAAAATAAAAGAGTTTCTCGATTTGCCACAGACTAAGTTCGACAAGACGTACGAAATTGTGGAATACTCTCACGTTACCTTTCCACATCAATACAGGCCAAAAAGCCTTTCGTTTTACGCTGCCAAACATGTCTCAACATTTCGGTTTTCTCGCAACCACCAGTTAAGTTAATGATGGCGTTAACCGCTTCATCGCTTCAATCCAAGGTTTAACGGGCAGAAGTAATCAACACCACAACGTTTCACGTTCAAGTGATACACAGTGACATACTTAGATCATGAATCCTCATAACAAAGAGCTTAAAGTGGCGAATTGTTACCTAAATGGGTACCTGGCTGAGCGGGAATAATCAGTGGATGTTACTCGATTTTTATAAAACTATGATTAATTTGGGAAGCCAGCACAGTTTGATCCTCGGCAACTTTCTCTACTATCGACCACCCTTCAAACTCACTAGTGTTATTTTATCCAAAACAGCCCACGGCGGGGGCAGAGAAACGCCAAAGGACATTCATGGTCCATCGGGTGAAAAGCGTGTTCCTTTTGAAACAAGTTCCATTTGTTCCTCTCTCGCCATAATCCAAGGCAGCGACACAGATATCGCCATGAATAGCTGGTCTGGCGCTTGGCTGATGAATCCTCTGGAAAACTTCTAAATGGAAAACGCATTTCCACCGGAAACGTTTCCGGGCCAACCGAAAAACAGGACTACCTTTCAAAGTTCCACTTATTCCCAGGAATTTTCCAGTAGAACGCCCGAAAATGTGTTACCTTTACACCACAACCAAAATTTTCAGAATTTCTTCGTAAACGAAGAGCACCCCTGCTACCATAAATTGCCGTGGAACACCTTCCCCATCGGAGAAAACAAACAACATGTAGCACAATTAAGAGGAAAAACTCTAACAAGGTCTTTATTCGATTTTCCACGCATGTCTGGTGCTATTTACGAAACAAAACAAAATTATCATAATACAACAGCCACAAAATACAAAGCAGGAAAAGAAGTGCCGAAAAAAGGGAAGAAAACTAGGAAGTAACTCAATAAGAACACTGTAGACGAAAGATAACTTACTGGTCACTTGGCTGAATACACTGTTTCATCTTTAAGTATTGACCAATTTATCTTTAGGTAACGCTCGGGTCGTTGTGTCGAATTACATCAAGGCACTTGGGGAACAAAAGTTGACCCAAGCTCGCGAGGATTCTCATTACAGCTCGGCTTGTAAAAGAAGCAAAATGTCCCCCTCACAGGAGCAAAGGCGGGCCAAGAATCGACCCCCCAAACGGTCCAGATGCAATTTGACGCAACACCGACCTAACACCAAGGCGCCCAACTGTGAGGCAGCGAGAATTGCCCTGTGGTACTATTTATTGTTCATCGCTAGGTCGCTATTACTTTTGACTCTGGGGAAGAAAACCTACTGTGTCACAGGGAAGTTCTTACACTTGAATCTATGGATAACTTCTACTATGGGAAAATAAAAAAAGAGGGCTTTTTATGTGTCTTGTTTGTGCTTTACAAGGTGACTCTCACGTTTTGCACAAGGAGACTTAATCTTTGACTCTCTCAATGAAATTTTAAAACAGTGACCGATGAAAGCGAACTCTGAGTTTTGGAACCTGTAAGCCACGCAAACATATGCAATTTCCTGAGCTTTGAAGCAACGGGTCTACCCTATCTAAACGAACGGCCTAAAATTACTCAAGACGTAAGAAAACTGTCGAAAACGATATATATTGTCATAGAAGCCACAATTCTCGCAATGCATGGGAAAAAAATTGTAAAATTCGGTCGGTTCACTCAAGGTGATGACCACTATTGGAAAATTAAAATCAAGATTCACATTTGAAGTAATCCTTGAGTGGCGACAGAAGGTGCCTTATTACAGGAACACTCCATGACTTCCCCAGCAACCGCTGTCTCTGTGACCGGCCCATGTTGCTGACGTCAGTGTAATGAGAAGGCAAACCAAACAACCTGAGAATAAAATACAGCAGTTATTTTTGTCCCAATTCCTGTGCGATCTAAATTTTGCGGGTTGTAAAAATCAGTATCAATAGACGGGACTTCCCCACCTTTTCAAGTACAATATGCTGTCTTTAATTTGAAAAGGTACACTCCGTTGATGCACAGAATTGGACTTGAACAACAAGGGTAAAGCATAAATTTATTTGGTTCCAAGGTGTGAACGAATATCAGTCAACGTGTTTTACGCGTTTTTTCCTAAATAACACTGAACTTGAAAACGTCGGCAGTTTTTTTTTCAGCAAAACAGTTTCGACGCACTATTGTACACTGTAACTCTTAGCAAGACAATACAACACTGTGGTAGTCTCTACACTAAAGCCTAAATAAGCTAAGAAATATTTCAAGACAAGTCAAATTTAAATTCTTCATGAAAAAGGACGCTTCACACGCAACCTATCCTTTTTACTTCAGGTTAACTGAAGCCTATTTTCCCACGCAGCATAAATAAGATTGTCTGACATGCTTCGCCTTTCTCAAAGCTCAAGAAACCGCAAGTTCGCAAAGTCGGTTTTAAGGATGGTTTTCAAGTCAACTTCACTGAGATGTGAAACACGTATCTTTGGTTAAGTAAAACTTAGCAGCTCTTAAGTCTTACGTAACGGCCTAGTGTAAAGACTACCACAGTATAAGGAGATTTCAAGCTGCAAAAACAGTCATTTTTACAGCTTGCCATTCGGGCAAGCTGTAGCTGGCATGTCCTAGCCAAAAAGCCGTCATTTCAACTAGGGCGAAAAAAAAAAGGTTTGATAAGCATTAATTCTGTTATTTGAATTCCCCCAAAAACTTCACCTGCCCGTCGGGCAAAAATTCACTGGCTCGATAGCAAAATCTACTAGCCCCGGGCTATCGGACACTACTTTCTTTGCACGCTGGAATTGCGATACGTTGATGCGGACGCTTCTGCTTAATTTCAAGTAGCACCGAATATTGGTAACACTGCCTTTTTTAACAACCAGACCGAAATTCCATGCCTTCAACATGCATTCAATTTTGTTCAAAACTTTTGAAAAAAAATCTGTTTCCCAGTTTGTCGATAAATCAAGTAGTGTTCACCTTATTCCAAAAAGGGAACAATATTATTTTTCTCTTATATCGATGATAGTTTATTGCACCTGCAGAATTCAAAGAACCTTTACCCTGGTACGAGACATTGACGGCCAGTCATCATGAAGACAACACAAAGACTAAATTTGCCACCATTTTCTTGGAATACGGTGTTTAACAACAATATCTGCAAAGATGAACAGCGAACCACATAGTTTTTCCAACATTTGGACTGGCCAGTCTTCCCACAATGCCCGCCTTTTCGGAAAAATTGGCAGCGTTGAAGTTGGGATTTTTAGGTTGAACAAAACAAACAACCAGACAGTTATAATGGCCGACATGTTTCAAAATGTGAATCTCCAAACTGGGGGCGTTTGTGGTATAAGTCAATAGAACTTACCGAGAATGGATAACTGCACCGAAAAAACAAAACAAAACAAAACAACATACAATCAACCGACTTGAATTATGGTATAGTGTAGAATATTACCTTTCCATCTCTGTAACCCAAAGAATATCTTCTTTCTCCTGTCCATCACTGGCAATGTATTGAACTGGAAGCAGGGCTTTCTTAGTTTGAAGCATAGAATTGGCGTTGGTAGTAAGGGTTTGTACCTTTGTGAACTAAAAACAAAAACAATTCGGTTGAAATCTTTCGTACAATAACCGCGTTTTTGGGGGTGTAGTAATATACAATAACGATATTGAATGAAAGAAAATAAAATTTGAACCAAGGATAAATTGACCAACAACATTTATATCAAACACGAGGGGTGATCATACTAGACTGCGAACAATCTAATCTGCGAGTCTCTCGCGTGACTTCTCGCGAATTCGCAAAATGGAGAGCCTGCTCTCAGGCTAGTTTCTTCCGAGATCGAGACACCAAGAAATGGGTTGGAAAAAACGAGGCTTAGCCAAGTCTTGGAGGTGCTTTTTTTTGCAAGGACATCATAAAAGGCTCCTTCACTTCGCTCACAACGTTTGGGCAAAGAGAGGGTAAACTGAGCAGAAGTAATATCATATACATCAATAAAATAAGGTGAAAAATCGCCCCACTGCAGTGCAGAGAAAGAACTGGTAACCAGTGACGAAGGCTTCTCAGAGAAATATATTTCCGAGTTCAAAATCTACAACATATGACTTTTTGGTGACTAGCTTGGACGCTTTACCAACAAGCTATGGGTTTCTCATGATCACTGGGCCTTGTTGCCCTGCATGTACGATCGTTACATCACATGATAACCAAGCTCAGAGATATGTACAGTGAAGCTCGTACTAAACATACATTTTATTTTTTGCATTGTTTCATGTGCTACACAATTCCTTAGAGCTTCTTCCACTTTACCCTTCGCTAGCAGAGCCTTTCTTTCACTTGATCGATTTTGGCGTGCTCGAGCAAGACTCTGCATGAATCTTGTAAGATCTTTGTTGAGCATGTGCTGCTTTTTGCCGGGATAATGTTTTAAATCTAGGCCTAATAGCCGTGCACTTAGCATAACTGGCTTAGAGATGACCATCGGTTAGTCAATAAACGGATGCTCGCACTCGGATAACCAGTTTGACGACAGAGAACAAGATTGATTACACCAGAGTTCGAGCTTTGGCGACTTCAAAGGCTTGACGCGATTCAGGATTCAGGCAGAGCCTCCCTTTATTTTCCTACTCAAGAAGACAAAAGCCAAGAAGGATCCACGCGTAGGGTGGGGCTTTTGGACCAGGAACCTGAGGAGAAATAGTCATGATGGTCCTTCAAGCCGGATAACGTACCTTTGCCTGTCGTCCACAATTTGGTTCCAGACATTCCTGTAAGCACAGCTTGTCGCCTGGTAAAGGAATGGTTGGCCTGCATAATCAAGCGTAAAGCACCACATTTGATCAGTAAACTGACAGGTTCTCATTAACCATGATAAGTAATGTTAGTCTTTCAAGAAGCCTTTTTGGCGGGAGCTTCACACTTCTCACAGTAATAACGCGTTTCGTGTGAAAGCCAATTATCGCTAACTCGGCGAAAAATTTTAATCCCGTTTACTGTTTCTTTTGTTCCAAGCATATTCTGAGTTAATTAGTCATTTGGGCGCGTCCAAACATCAAATTGTGGGCAAAAAAATGTTACTTGAATATGCTTTGTAAGCGCTTAGCACTGAATTCAAATCTAAAAGCTATCCTTGGTTATCTTAACCGCTTTGAACAACCCGCCAAGGCTCCGGTTGATCAAAAGGTGAATAGCGCTATCCACCGGATAAATCACTATCCACTGGATAGCGCAAATAGTTTTCCTAACCCTTATCTACTGAATAGTGATTTATCTGGTGGATAGCGCTGTCCATCTTTTGAACAACAGAAGCCAGCTGAATGGTGACTTGTTTGACACTAACAATGATACAGACTATGACATTGACCCGGTTCACCTGTTCATGCCCGGCAGGTTTCCCCAGAAATATCGCGCTCGGTGAGCAGGAGAAATGTCTTTGGCGTCTACCACAACGGGATTACACTGCAAGTGGAATCATAAAACACTTGTTGGCATACCCTGATTGAATGAAGTACGTGAAGCAGATTTAAATTGTCGCATCGTGACTGTACTACTGAGTGGCGCTGGGCGTAAAACCACTCTCGCCAGTCACGAGGTAGCTAGGATTTTTTTAAAGGGGTGGGTTGGGGGGAAGGTGCACACTGTGCCACAACAAGGTTTGCCTGATTGTTTTGCCTCCATTCACGCTGTAGGCGTTTCGGATGAGCAGTGACCGTGGGGGTGAGGGTGGGGGTTTGTAGGGCGTTGCACGCACGTTAGCTGAAAGTGCACTCCTCGGCCGTGATTTTGAACAGATTCTTGACGCTTAGCAATACAAATTTGGTAGCGTCAAGGCATATTGAAAGAGAAAAAGTTTCACTTCCAGTTGACGTGCGTTGCTCAAAAACGTCGCTGCTTAAACTCCCTAATGACGTGATGGTGGCGCAATTTGTTTTCTTAACCGCGGCAATTTGTTTTCTTAACCTCTTAACCGCGGCAGCATTAACTCAGTCGGTAGAGTGTGTGACTGCAGAGCGGGAGGTCGCAGGTTCGATTCCCGGGACTGGACCAATTCTCAGGGTCTTAAAATAATTGAGAAATGAAGGTACTACCTTTGTACTGCAAGCGGCCAGACCTTCGCGTGGCTCGGATGACCACGTAAAATGGCGATCCCGTCTCCAGTAAGAGACGTAAAAAATAGTGTCCCCAGTTAGTACTTTCGTGCTAAATACATTGACACTGAAATAAAGAGCATTTTTTTTCTTTCTTTCTCTCTCGCGCGATGTTCCGAGAAACTTTAACGGAGATGAACGTCAAAACTGTCAATGTTATTGAAAAAACAAATTGACAACAATTTTCCACGGTCTTTATCCTTATCGACCATAGAAATGACGTCCAAATGTTCAAAACTTTTTTTTGACGTCATTTCTAACGTCGATAGGGGTACAGACAATGGAAAATTGTTGTCTATTGCTAACTCTAAAAGCCGTAATTACACTGGAAAGTTTTCCGCTACAGATTTTTCATGATAAAGTATTAGAAACAAGATTTTCTCCTTTTTAATTAAGAAAAGAAGGGGTTGGATCCTGGAAGCGAGTTAGCAGTACGATAACGCAAGGGTAAATACAATTTAATCATCAAAATACTTAACTGAATTCGACCACTTAAAAACAAGGAGACTGGGACCAGTTAAGTTTCGCAAAGACTTCTGGAACTGTTACTAGGGACAGGGGGAAATAATTGGCCCATAGTGGACCGGTCAGTCCCCAATAACGATCCTACAAACAATTGCGGGACGCATTTCGGCTCCAACTCTTTTCTCGTTTCTAACGTGGCGAATTCGGAAACAAATTTGACAAAATCAGCAGTGTTGAACATGAAGACAAGATACCCTGTGTAAGCAGCGACGCGACCTTTGTCAGTTTTCCTACCTCAAGAAACCTTGAAATAACACATTTGTCTTCCGCTCTCATGCCAACAACATTCTCAAAAAGCCAATAGAATGGTCTTTCCATCTCTGACTTGGGTCGCGCGTACTCAAGAAGTCGGAAAAAGTCAAAGAAAAGGCGACCAGTTCCCTCTGTGAAGAACAAAGCTATCATCAGTCAAGTGATCAACGGTAGGTAAGCTCTGATAAATTGTTTTCTTGCTCTTAAAGAGCATTCCCGCTCGAGGACTTCCAGGTGGTCCGGCAAACATTATATCAAACGTTACAAACAACAAAAATGAACTTTGAAAAACTGTTAAGCAAACAAGTTTTCATAAACCACAATTGCAATCCGTTTCAATCCTCTTCAAATTTGTCCATTCGTTTCTCCTTTTGTGATGTGATATTTACACCTCCTTTTCATGGTTTGAGCAGTTGTTTTCATGTCCCACTCAGTTTGATAGCATTTGCCACTGTCTGAATTTTGATATATTTCGTGACACAGCTCCTTTAACCTGCCTTTTGCTGCGTTGGTCTAAAGTATATGCCGTGAAATACAAAGCTCTTTTCTATGAATCAATCGAGTATTACACGTACAATACATGAATATGGTCAACAGACTGAAGACACTTGCCTCCCCCAAGAAAGACATCTAATGCGCAGGGGAGGATAGAAAGTACGGAGTGGTCAAGCCATCTAGACTTAAACTATACATTGCTAGCAGTCTTTCTCTCAACTTTTCAGTCTCAGGGCCAGGTTTGAAACGAGCCAATCAGATATCGAGGAAAACACTTGCTGTCTGTCGGCGCTCCGAAAAGCGCGGGGAAATATATGCGCCCAAGGTACGATGGGATTTGGTTTTCTTCTGACTGGTCGATTTAGTGGCGCGAAATTTCAGCCAATCAGAAAATCCAGCAATGACTTCTTACCATAAATTCCTCTTCTTACTGGATTTGCAATGGAAAGGTCGTTACATGGGCTTCCTCCAAAAACAAAATCAAATGGACCTAATTGTTCAATCTGCGAAACAAGAAAAAACCACCATCCGGTTTTAACGAGTTTGACAGGTTAACCGTGCTTTGCTTGGACAAAGAGGAGGGCAGCGGTTTTCAAAGATTAAGGAACTAATCTAGTCGAAGCGTTTAATCGAAATGTCGAATTCACCGTTAAGAAAAATTAAACCGCCAAATATAAAACTGAAGCAGGTTCGAATGACAAGTGGTACTTTGACAACTTTTTTTACCTATGCGCGGGAACGAAAATTCAGCAACAGGCACAAAAAGCCGCTTTTAAAAGTGTACTAGTTCCCAACCTTACAAAAAGTGCCAGGTTTTTCTTTCTTTTTTCTTCGAACGCACACAGAGTACACTATATTCGCCCTAAATCTGCTTAATCTTTGAATCACACTTCCCATTCAAACACTTTGAGCGGAAATTCTTTCCTTCAAAGTGGGCTTTTCAAGCGCCATCGAAATCTAAAACTAAATTCCAGAGCTTCTAAGAGCTCCAACGAGTAGCGCGAACCCTAGCACCCATCTATATAATGAGAAAAGCGCACATTAGCTTATAAATACCACCACAATTAACTTACTTGTGCCCTAGAAATCTTTTGTATATCCCCAGTATGACAGATTCTACTACCATGTTGGACTTTAGCGACCTGGCGAAGAACAAAAACGGTTAACATGGTTATAAAAACATAAAAAAGATCACAAGTTTGTCCATCTGTACCTTCTTTTGTATTTGCTGAGTTATTTACAACTTCTATTAAAGTTCTGAGCGATTATTTTATGTTTTACTCAATTTGGTCGCAGTTTCTGTGTTTGAATTTTAAAAATCATGATTTCGTGACAGGAAAAAAGCCTGTAAAATGTAATAAGAAGAATCTTCTTAAGGTTGCCGAGGATTACTTAAGACTCAGAAGGATACAAAAAGGTTTTCATTCAAATTAACTTTGAATTAATTTACAGTTAATTGACAATTTTGACAGTTTTAACAATCAACAACAATTAACAGGTTTTCATTCTTTTAACTGGCTGCATTTTCTATGTTAGAGGAGAGATAAGGGTACGTGAGTTTACAAAAGAACTTACCTGAACGGCTTGTTCGTCAATTTCAGAAGCACAATAAAGTTCTATTTCAATACCAAGTTCCTTTAAGGCCTGAAGTCCTGTTAAAGAACAGAATTAAATGGCCAGTTAATATCTTTCAACATTATGTTTTGCCGTTTGTTTAGTTATGGATTCACGAAGGTGCCATTTTGTGAAAATCACGGCAGGATTAGGTCAGGTGGTAAAGAGCTGGTAAGTTCCTAGAGCAATCCCCGCGACCGAACAAAAACACAGGTTCTTCAAATAACCGAGGAGAAGGCACTATTGCAAATGGCTAGACTTACCAGTGGCTGAGATGACCGCGTACAAAATGGCTGTCTCTGTCTCTTTTAGATGTAACAATAAAGCGAGCCCATTTTCGTACTTACCCGAGGCTATTCCGTCAAACAGTGATAACACTCTGATGGGTCGACGCTCCTCTGGGGGGAGGGCTGGAAAAGTGTAGGGTGCTTTCTGCGGAGGCAAAAATGTTGCATTCATTGATCATTTCAGTTTACACTAAAGACTCACAATTCGTCTGAACGAACTTGGGCAAACATTTGGAGTTCGTCTAGTTATGCACCTCTCGTATAAAGACGGGCACAAGGCGCATTCCACACGAAACATCCTTCGTAATCGGTCTTGAGCGACGCCCTTCGAAAGTTAGTTCCCGTGGACGTATAATGCGTCTCTGTGCGCGTAAACGGCTAACGGATGAAGAACGTTAAAAAAAAGAAAACCTTTGCATTAGAGGAGTAATACCTATTTACATATTTTTTGAAAAATTCGATTGATGCGTTGTTGGGGCCTAGAGCAAACAGCAAACTTTGTCAAACTTTAGCAAGTTTTGCCGGGGATTTAACTGCTGTCCGTATCACCGGGGTGAATGTACTAACGAAGTGTCCAGAATGCGAGAGTTAAATGTATTATTCGTTCATCACAGGGTAAACAGTGACTGAAGTGACTACTACATGAAGAAGCTTCTTACAAAATCTTGTTCCTTGTCATTCATAAATAATTCCTGTAGTCCGGCAGACCAGTCCTTCCGAGGTGTGATGAGTCCCTGAGATTTTCCTGAACACATGTAACACACCCACTTTTCACAGGCTGCAATCTACCAAACATCAAAATAAACACTTTATGACTTGTCCCGAGGAAAAAAATGTAATAGTAACTAAAACATTCAATTCTCCAATTAACTGCAGCATTTACATCAATTTGTTTCCTATTGCTCACAATCAGGAATCAGGAACAATATATAATACCATTCAAATTGCCTTCAAAGCCTGTTCACAAAACCCCGGTTTCATAGATTTCGCGTCATTACTCTTTCTTTTGTAAAAACGTTGTTGTCCTCAAATTGTAATGGCGGGCTATCCCGGCTGCCGAAATCTCAGTTTTTGCGACCGAGATCTCAGTAACCGGGCCAGAAATTTTATGGATGATCACTCCACTCAGTTACCGAGAGTGAAACTCGAAAGGTCGAGCTCTGTTCAGTAACCGAACTGTTTCCCAGAAGAACAGAAACCGGCCTAACGTTTTCCATAGAAAAGAAGGCAAAATTCGTCCCGCTTTCCGGGCCGGCAATTTACGGGGCTCATAGTAGGTGGCAACAGTTTCATCACCGCAAGAAAAAAAATGCCGCCCTTTAGAGCAGATTAAATCCTTTGAACATGCCAGTCTAATTCACTAATTCACTTTAAACGATAAAGGATCGTGAGAACAATACCTGTTTTACAACAGCGACACCACATAGCATACCAATACACAAACTGCAGTATGACCTGTGAAATCACATCCATGACAGGTTAAAACATTTTACTTTATCTTTAACGGTCTTTGTAAACTTTCTTTCAGTATTAGGACAAACATTTTTGCAAACCATCAGGTAAAAAAATTAGTCGCGGAGAAAGCGACGCGCTAGCTTTTGTCACCGGCATTCACCCATGCGCAAAAAATATAGTAAATGGATAATTGATCAATGAAAGCGCGCGCTTTACTCTTGTTATGTTATGATACAGACGAGAGGCTACAAAACAATGGACAGTATCTTTACCTTTGAAACCAAAATTTTTCCCATATTCGTGGTGAAAAACATCCCCAAATGAGGAAAAAATTCGGTGAAGTACAGATCAAGAGGTACATGTATGCACACAAACGTAGACTGGCAAATTACCAGGATAATCTGTTCAGAGGCTTTAATTCTGCATGTTTTTTCAGGCTAGCAAAGCCAGCGTGAAGGGGGCTTGCAACGCGAGAGAAGCACGAAGGGAGCCTTGGCTCGACTGAAAAACATTCAAAATTAAAGACTCTTCTGCAGGCTATTGGCTAGGTTAAGCCAGGTTGTAAAACCCTGAAGCATGGCTTTGCAATGGACTTAAACATGCGCTGAGGCTTGCCAAAAACGGAGTTTAGACTGTCCCAAGTTTTGTTTATTGGAAAGTTGGTAATCCTCTGTTCAGACTTTGACCATGTTTAACGTTAACCTCGTTTAAAATAACCGGCCCTTGATTTTCTTTATAGGTGTTTTTGCAGAACGTGTTATTATCTTAAAGATGGAAGTCTAGCGAAAGTTAACCAAAAAGTGACCCCCGCTAAATCTGATTCTGAACAAAATAATCGTATCGTTTCACTTTCATTAAGGTACTATCATCGTCAACGAGTGCAAGAACCAATTTTTCTTACCTAAAACAACCAGTCTTGTCACACATAAAAACCTCCTTTCCATCACCACAAATAGTGCAGTACATCTAATTTATTAAAGAAAAATAATTTGTGGGGATTACAAAGTGCGGAGTAGTGCCCACTGCGATTGGTGATTAACAGCCTGGAAACATTAGATTTAGTCAAGCTTGTATATCTTCAGTAACTGACCAAAGGAACATAAAAAGATTTGATCTGAATTTTTACCAACCGCGTTTTTTTTTGATACAGTACTGAGAAAGAACAAAGTTTAAGGCGTTTTCCATGGTATCAGAGAATATGACATCTCTAGAAGGAAGAACTCGAACATCTTTGTTTATCATGGCCTGCGAGCAAGCTCTCCGGGGCGTTCTGGCGGCGTGGTGGGAAAAGGAAGTAGAGCTTGCAACTTCTTCTCTGGAATTTGAATTCCGCGTCCAATTTCCCTGTGGCTCCCTGACGACTGAGCTTTCAGATTTCCGCCAATCAGCGCGAAGCGGAAACGAGCGCGAATAAAAACCAACATTGATAAACAAGTGCCAAGGGAAATAACGACATTACTAATGTCACCTTCGCCAATCAGCATTTCGCATTGACTTTTTCTATGCAGATCTTCAAATTCCAGAGATGTAGTTGCAAGCTTTCGTTCGTTTTCCCGCCCCACCGCCAGAGCGCCCCGAAGAGCTTACTCGCAAGCTATATTTTTCACTGAGGCTAAGTTCACATGGCACGGGTTGAAAATTCGTTAATTTGGCCTTTGGGTGATCCGTTCACACGGAAGCACCTTAACTGCACAAAAATTTAGTGTAATGTTCCGTGAGAACAAAGCATCCAGTCAGTTCAGTCCAGTTCAGTCAGTCGGTCGAAAATTCGCCCCGGTGGTGTGTGAACTTTGCCTGTAAAAGGAGAAAAATATTAACGAGTGTTACAGTCCGCTCTAAAAAAAACCTTCTGCATTCCAGGGGTAAAATCAAAAGCACTAGTACTTTTACGATCATTGTGGTTTACTTTATACGTGTAACTATTCAAGGACATGCTGACTAGTGCAGTCGATAAAAACGGATATGGGAAAACCAATCGATAATTGTTGATAATCACTTTTTGATTGATATCGATTGTGTCGGTCAATCGATAGAAATCGATGGCAACAACTTTTTCATCGTGAGCGCTATCGATTTTAACGATATTATCGCTATCATGATCTTTCATTATCTTCGGGGTTCAACACCTAATCAATGCATTGAAAACTGGGTCTCATTTGAAAAACTTACGAACAGCTAGCGATTGGCGTCTTCTCTTTCCATTTAGTTGGCGGAGTTGCTTATCTACTTTGTTTTGCATATTTGCAGGATGATTTTCATGATGCTTTGCGATCAGAGATTTTTGAAGAAGCGAGGGTCTTACTGACAAACTGGACACTGAACAGTATCCTCACCAACTGAAATGTAAAGTGTAGGCTTCAAATTGAACAGTTTCCAACGCAACCAAGCTGAATCAGTTGTTTATGTTAAGTTAACGGATTTGTAACTCTTTTTTATCCTGTCGATTGGCCGAAAATGTTTCGTTAGAGAATTGAGTGTAATTTGTAAAATAAATTTGGCTACAAATTTATCCGTCCAAGGCCACAAAAATAATGTACTTCGGAAACAACGTTCTTTTCCTATGTTAACCGCTAAAGCACATGGAAACTTAAGCACCCATTAAAATCGATTCGTTAAAAATCGATTTAAATCGACAATTATCAATTAGCAACAACCTTTTCCTCTATCGATTTTTATCGACTTTTAATTTAATCAATCGATTTTATCGATAGATATCGATTGCGCTAGCCAGTTGATCACTCCAAAATCATAGTCAGTAAAAGTTAGGGACTTGTCAGAAATAAGCAGGGGGGGAGGGGGGTGGAAACAGAGGGAGCGTCACAACTTTTTGAGACTGCAGAAAAGGGAGGGGTCATGAAAAATGGGCCGTTAAAAGGGGGAGGGTCATGCAAATATGTGTCCGTGATCATGTAGATGTTCACCCACAGAAGAAAAAAGAAGTTCTTTATTTTGTAAAAAAAACCTGGGAGAAATAGGAGAGTCGAGTGATCAGCTGTCAGAATCAGAGTCGGACTCTTACTGCTGTCATCTGAAATGTACCTAGATGGCATTACAAAGAACAGATTAGAAATATATTTTGAGCTTTCATAATACTGACTCACCCTAGTGTATTGCAAGAACTAGATTTTATCATTTATACTGACAAGAGGGGGAGGGTCATGATATTTTAGGCCAAGGTCAAGGGAGGGTTTGCAAATTTCACTCCCATTGCAGGGATGGGTCACCTCATTTCCGAACCCAAATTTAAAACTCCCACCCCCC